GTGAAGCACGGGCACTGTCATTCTTCCAGCATTACTGAAGTTATACACACTTCTGCTCTGTGATATGGCAATTCCACTTCTAGGAACGTGTCCAATAGAAACAGGTGCTTTTGGCCGCAGCACGGTGGCCTAGCGGCTGAAGTCCTCGCCTTGAATGCGCCGGGATCCCATATGGTCACTGGTTCTAATCCCAGCAGCTCCACTTCCCATCCAGCTCTCTGCTTGTGGCCTGGGAAAGCAGTCGAGGATGGCCCAAAGCCTTGGGACCCTGCACCCACATGGGAGACCCGAAGGAAGTTCCTGGCTCCTGGCTTTGGATCAGCTTAACTCCAAACATTGTGACCACTTGGGGAGTGAATCATCAGATGGAAGATTTTCCTCTCTGTCTCTCCTCCTCTCTGTGTATCTATCTTTGCAATAAAAATAAATAAATCTTAAAAAAAGAAAGAAAGAAAGAGGTGCTTTTGCCAATGAAAGGACAAATCTGGATGCGGCACGGCAGCCTAGTGGCTAAGGTCCTCACCTTGCATGTGCTGGGATCCCATATGGGTGTTGGTTAGTGTCCCAGCAGCCCTGCTTCCCATCCAGCTTCCAGCCTCTGGCCTGGGAAAGCAGTCAAGGATGGCCCAAACCCTTTGGGACTCTACCCGCTTGGGAGACCTGGAAGAGGCCCCTGGCTCCTGGCTTTGGATCTGTTCAGCTCTGGCCATTGTGGCCACTTGGGGAGTGCATCAGTGGACAGAGGATCTTTGTCTCTCCTCTTCTCTGTATATCTGACTTTCCAAGAAAATTAAGTAAATCTTTGAAAAAAAAAAAAAAGACAAATCTGACAACCTTAATCATTGATGCAAATGTACAGTTCTCAAGCTGGAAAGAATCAGGAGAACAAATCAAGGGCCGGTCCTGAGATGCAGTGGGGCAGTCTGCCACCTGCAAGTAAATCAATCTTCTGCAGTTACTTTATTCGTTATTTGAAGAGCAGAGTGGCAGAGGCAGAGATGGTCACCTGCTGCAGCAGCTGGGGCTGAGCCAGGCTGAGGCTGGCGGCCAGGAGCTTGATTAGCATCTCTCAATGGAGCCATCCTCCACTGCCTTCCCGCGCACAGAGCAGGAAGCTGGATTGGAGGCAGAGCAGACGGGACTCACAAACTGGTGCCTATACAAGATGTCAGCATCGCAGGCGGAAGTTTAACCTGCATCACGGCTCACTGAGTAGGAAGAGGCACAAAGTTGCCTTCCAGGAAATTAACATGTTCTCCACCTTCTGGGGCAGCAATAAGGGTAAACATGTTTGTCACGATTCCTCAGGCTGTGTACTTAGCCTCGGTGTGGCTCACATGCTTGGCTTCCTTGAGAAACATTGGATTTTGGTTTTCCTACTCCTCCTAGGATAAACTGCAAGGCCCTTTCTGTGGCTCCCAACTCCGAAGGAGCGTCGCCAGCTCCGACCTGCCAGTCTTCCAGGGCTGTCCCACACCTTGTCTATGCCCCCAGGTGTGCTCTGCTGCTCCGTTAATCTTCCCTGAATCCCAGGGATTCTGCCAGTTGCATGGGACTTGACTCAAAGAGGCGGCTCCTCATCTTCAGGCTTAAATGAGGTCCTTAATTATATGTTGTACTTCTCTTTTGTAGTGCTTATCTTGCCCTAATTTTTTACCAGCTCCAAAGACTGTGCATCAGGGCGGTCTTGTGGGCTGTTGCATCTCTCTCTTTTTTTAAGATTGTATATTTCTTTTTTAAAAAAAGATTTATTTTATTTTTATTTTCACTTGAGATGCAGATTTACAAGAGAGAAGGAGAGACAGAAAGATCTTCCATCCATTGGTTCACTCTCCAGGTGCCTGCAACAGCCAGAGCTGAGATGATATTCACGAAGTTAACCAACAGAAAGATCTCTGGCCTTCACTTTGTGATTCTACTTTTCAAATAAAAATTAAATAAATCTTTTAGAAAATTACAACCATTGAAATTAGCCGACAGCAATAAGTTTCACATGGCTTTGTTGTGCGGTAATAAACCCAGAGAATTAATCGCTACATTATTCTAGATGATGAAAGAATTCAGCAGGTGACTGGGTAGAAGAAATGGAAAGATCCTAGTTCTATAGCACTTATAGAGACAAAACATTAGGCATAAACTTCAGAGACATTTAAGATATACATCAAGAAAACATTCAAATGCTACTATGAATACAACATAGAAAGGTGCCAATAATCAGAATTTCGCCACTTTCCAGAAAAGCCTAGCACCAGGAAGCTCACGTCTTTTTACTTGAGCAATTTCAATGCTGTCTCCGGACAAATACCAAGAGTATTTTTTTGGATACCAACAGGTTCTCCCTGGGGGCAGAGAGAACCTTAAATCGGGATGGTGTTGAACAGGGGTATGCTTGAGCATCATTCCTTTGGACATCTCTCCCTCTGTAACTGGGTGGGCAGTGTGCACAAGCTGCTTTTCGTCTTAACTCACAGGAATGGCACTGGGGGAGTCACGTGGCCTGGCTCTAGCGCAATACAGCAATGGGAGGATGGAACTTTATTTAAAGACACAAGTCACCATTATTTACTTCTCCAAAAGAGAAGCCGGAGCGAATACTTTCACAGTCAGCCTTAAGTAAACCCAGCGGCGGCTCCAGGAGGCGATTCCTGGGAGGATGCCTTTTGCAGCTCCACCATCTTGCCGAGTCTCAGCCGCTGCAAGCCACCCCCCCCACCGCCCCGCCCCCCATGGGAGACGCAGATAACGTGGCCTTTCTGGGAATGCGCAGCCTGCTGGCAGCGGCTCCCCCTACCTGCCCTCCCAGCTCTAATGCCTTTAAAGATTTATTTATTTTTATTGCAAAGTTATATATATAGAGAGAAGAGGCACAGAGGAAGATCTTCTGTCCTTTGATTCACTCCCCAAGTGACCGCAATAGTCAGGACTGAGCTGATCCAAAGCCAGGAGCCAGAAGCCTCCTCCAGGTCTCCCACGTGGGTGCAGGGTCCCAAGGCTTTGGGCTGTCCTCAACTAGAGGAGGTTCCTGGCTCCTGGCTTCGGATCGGCACAGTACCAGCCATTGCGGTCACTTGGGGAATGAATCATCAGACGGAAGATGTTCCTCTCTTGTCTCTCCTCCTCTCTGTATATCTGATTTTGCAATAAAAAAAAAAAATCTTTTTAAAAAAAATGAGAATTAGAGCAAACATCATAGTGCCGCAGGACCCAGCCCAGATTCCTGATCCCCAGTGGAGGGGAACTTGGCCTCCTATGTTTTAGGCTGTCAAGTGCACATCTTTCCCATTATGTAGTTGTGGAAGACCCCTGGTTCAGAAACACACTGGGTGGGGCGGGAGTGGGTGTCAAAAACACATTAGGGTCAGGGAGTGGGTAGGAGTGAGGGCTGTTGGAGAGCCTACAACCTGTAAAACATGTGAAGGGTCTGATTGAGAAAGCTGGGCTGGGTCATGCTGTCTTTTACAGGTGTCTAGAAATTCAGCGAATCCCAACTCTGCAGTTGCATTGGCCAAGCTCCTTACCCTTCTGGAGTCTCCTTTCCCTCATTTGTTCAATGGAAGCAGTAGGGGCTAGCGCAGTGGTGTGACAGGCTAATCCTCTATCTGTAGCATCAACATCCCATGTGGGCACTGGTTCCAGTCCCAGATGCTTCACTTCCAATCCAGCTCCCTGCTCTTGGCCTGGTAAGGCGGGCTCCCAGCTTTGGTTCAGCTCAGCTCCAGCCGTTTCAGCCATTTGGGAAGTGAGTCAGTGATGGAAAACCTCTCTTTGTCTCTTTCTCTCCCAGAAAAAAAATCTGTCTTTCCAATAAAAATAAATTTTTAAGAAATGGGACCAGCCGGGCCCGGCGCGGTGGCGCAGTGGTTGGGGTCCTCGCCTTGCACGCCCAGGATCCCATATGGGTGCCGGTTCTATCCCGGCAGCCCTGCTTCCCATCCAGCTCCCTGCCTGTGGCCCGGGAAAGCAGTCGAGGATGGCCCAAGGCTTTGGGACCCTGCACCCGCGTGGGAGACCTGGAAGAGGCTCCTGGCTTCGGATCGGCATAGTATTGGCCGTTGCGCTCACTTGGGGAGTGAATCATCAGACGGAAGATCTTCCTCTCTGTCTCTCCTCTCTGTATATCCGTCTTTCCAATAAAAGAAATAATGAAAATAAATCTTAAAAAAAAAAAAAATGGGACCAGCCACCATCTGTCAGTGTGCGGATGCTGGAAGATAAACTACATCAGCCCTACAATGAACCTGGACCACACTGCTGGCTGATACGGCAACGACTGGGCCCTCACAAAAAGACCTCTGTGGACTTAGACTTTGGCTTTTGATACTGCCCCAATGCAATAGTGTTTTCAATATAAATCCTCCCCCACCCCCCAAAAAAGATCAGATACATACAATCTATTCTCTTTTATATTAATAAACATTTTTAACAGTGTAAAAAAAGATGTGGTCTCAGCCTCTTTATTTGCATGTGGTTACAACTCATAAATACACCTGTCATCTCCTCCCCTTCCCACTCTCCCCCCACCCCGGCAAACCCTACCCAAACCTCTGGTCCTTACGGCTCCGTTGTCCTCTCGTTTAAGAGCCGAGGGGTGGGACACTCCCCCACCTCACCTCACCTCGGTCCGCGTCCTCCAAGGGCCTTTGGGCCTCAGGGGTGAGCACCACGCATGCATTAGAATCTCTGGTGATATCCTCGCGGGTGGTCGTACACCTGACACCCTCCTGTGCCATGCTCCGGACATAGAGTGCCACGGTGGGCAGCTGTCAGCACGCCACGCCCTGTCCGGGGCTGAGGCTGAGTCACACCAACCGCGGCTGGGGCAGGCAGTATGTGGTAAGGTCTCAGGCTTGCCCAGGTAGCGGTGAGAGTCCAGTGGAGGGCACCCAACTTGTGCCCGGCGCTGCTCTCCAAAAGGTCCTGGGGCCTGATCCCTCAAGGCCGGGCCCACCTTGGGGGAGTCCCCAGGGACCCTCTCCTCCTGCTTGCTCATGAAGCCTTGGGGGAGAAGGTGTGCTCTTGTGCCTTGCTCCTCTGTTCTTCCCAGACTCTGTAAGGCCTGGGTGACACTGGTCCCTGGGGCTCCTGTCAGAGGGAGTGGCCGCCCAGTGTCTCTGTCTCAGCCAGGTGCCAAGCTTTGCCATCTTCTTGGTAGGGTGTAGATAGCCCGGGAGGGCCAGGTGCACCCTCTTCAGGAATAGGGTAGGGAGGTTCGGGGGCTGCTGGCGGGTCTCCGGGGCCCCGTGCTCCCCCTAGGACCGGACCATTATAGATGTAAATATTGCCGGTGACAGTCACAGAGCCGCCTGTGACGTGAATGCCGTTGGCACCTGCAGGAGGGGAGGTGGGATGAAGCAGTGGTCTGAGGCAGGGATGGCTCCAGATTCCCCCAGGAATCCCCGCTGGCCTCTCTGACCCCCTCCCTGCCAACCATCCCTCCCTCTCTCCCTCCCCTGCTGTAGGCTGGCCCCTGGGCTCACCATGGGCCACTTGGCCCTGCTCCCCAGGCTCAGCCTCTGGCTCTCTGGTCTGGCCCAGGGGACTCTGCTGTTGTAGCACCACTTCCTCCAGACACGGAGGGGCCAGGGGCCCGGCAGAGGCCTGGGACGGGTCTCTGCAGACGGGCAGAAGTGGCTCCACCAGGTCAGGGAAATGCGGGTTGACCCTTGCAGGCGGACAGGAGGGAGACTCCTCTCTCTGCAGTAGACAAAGAACCAACCAATGCCAAGAGCCCCAGACGCCAGCATCCCTACCTCCCCACGACCCTCTCCTTGCCTGCGCAACTTGGTGCTTGCCCCTGTTCCTTACCCAGTCTTTGCCCTGGATTGCCCAGCCCTGCACACCACCCACCACCCAGCCCTTTCAGGAGTACGTTCCCCGCAGACAGTCCCAGCGCTACTCTCTCACTTGCTTGCCAACTCTCTGCTCCAATGCCAGCTTTGCAGAGAGGTCCTCCTTTTCTTCTCTTCCTAAAGAAGATTCTCCTATGCCAGGGCCAGGGTCACTCATGGTCCCCTTGCCCAGCTATGGTGAGCAATTGTCACCTCTGCTATGTATTGACTTCAAGTCATCCTGGCTGTGGGGGCCTGCTGCCTTATTTGGCTCACTGCTGTCCCCACCCAGCCTATGTCAGGGCCTGGCATGGAACGTGCTGGACATTATCAGTCACAGGAAAGATCCTGAAGTCTGCCTGGGCGACCAGGTGAAGCCTGCTCACTCTCTTCCTGCCTGTCCCTCTCCCCCCCCACCCCCGGTCCCCCAGCCCCCCAGCCCTGTTGCCTCTTCCTGCTGCCTTCCCAGCAGCCCCCTCCATTACCTCCGGATGCCTCTTGAGCAGGGATCCTGTAATGCAAAAGGAAGCAGCTGCAGGGTTTGTGGCCTGTCTCAGATCCCTGCTTCTCACCCTCTCACTGTTGCTACCCAGCCTGGGGTTGTGGGGGCAACAGGCAGTTGTGGGCCTTCCCTTAAGCTGCAGGACCAGGGCTAGGTGGAGATGGTGGGGTCTGTGTCAAGGGCAGCCATGGACAGTCTTGGACTGCTTTCCCAGGCCACAAGCAGGGAGCTGGATAAGAAGTGGGGCTGCTGGGACACGAACCGGCATCCGTACAGGGTCCTGGCGTGTGCAAGGAAAGGACTTTAACTACTATGCTATCGCGCCAGGCCCTGGTATGGACAGTCTTAGAGTGAAGGGGTCTCCACAGGGGAGGTTGAACATTCCCACCCCAACCCTCAATCCCGGCTGCCACTGCCAGCTGTGCACGTGCAGACAGAGGACCTGCTGTTTTTGCTTTCCTACCCAGCTTTCTGCAGAGAGAGGGGAGGCTCTTCCAGGTGCAGGCAAGGACGGTGAGGAACAGGAAAGAGACGAGTGGCAACAGGACGGCCAGCACCAGCACAGTTCCTGCCAAGACAACAGACAGGGAACAGGTGACAACGGAGAAGGGCAGAAGGACCTCAGGTTCCGGGGGCCTGGGCAACCCAGAGAGGGGCAGCTCCCAGAAGTCAGAGCAGGCACACCAAGGTCACAGAGGAGGGATGTGAGGGCAAGACCCTCTCCAAGGCCGGGGTACAGGCGCCCCCCGCCGAGGTGCTGATCAGAGCCCAGGATGGGGCAGCCTCGTTGTGGAGAGAGGGCAGCCGAGACAGTTACAGGGTGGGGCTGGCGGGGCTTGGCATTGTCAACAGGCTTAGGCCACAGGGGGAGAGCCACTTTTGATGTGGGAGCAGTGGTGGTTGGCCACAAAGGAGCTGGGATGGCCTCTGTATACCCATGGGGGGGTGTTTGCTGCATGGGATCCCAAACTCTCTGGGAGAACAGAGGCCATGCACTCCCATCCTCTCGCTGGGAGTAAGTTCCAGGAGTGGTGGGGAGAAAGAAAGACCCCGGAAGTGGAAAGCTCCTGCTTTCTGTGGGCCTATCATCCGTAGGACCACAGGGTCTACAGTGAGTCTCAGGGACACGTGGGAGAGGTGAGGAGAGCTTCCTGTTTAGGCATGGAGTGGGTGGATGGGGGAGGGAGGGCTGGCCTTTCAGATGGCCTGAACTTGCAGCCTGAGGATGCACAGGAAGGGTGCCCTCACACCCAGGCCACTGCTTGGTTCTCTAGGTCCCAAGCCATCTCATCTCTCAGCAGTAGTTGCTCTTACAGAAAATGGGAGAATGGGGAGGGGTAGGGGTGGGAAGGATAAAGCTTACCCACTCTCTAAATGTCTGGCTGGAAAATGCTGGTTCTAACTGGGCACTTGGACAATATTATGAGGACAGAGACAATTATTTGTGATTACTGCTGAATGAAGAAACCAGGTTAGAAAAATTTGAAATTTTTCTGCCCTTTTAGTTTAAATAAATGCCAGGTGTGGATGCATTAAAAAGCCCTCTGGGTGGGTGTACAGCCAAATGCTAACAGAGAACATGCCAGCCAGGTGCTGGGTGTGCAGGCGAGTTCCACCTCTGCTCAGATGTGTTTTCTGTCAGCAGTGGGCATGCATCATGGCACAGACCTGAGGGCACGTCCTGCTAGGAGGGTCCAGGGCGAGACAGGGGGCCTCTGGAGGCCCACTGAGTCAGCCAGGAGAAAGACAGCATCTGACCCCAGATGAGACAAACTCACGCAGGTCTCAGAAAGCGCAAAGCTATACTTTGAGACTGTCGGTGCTCTAACAAAGCGAGTCCGCTGGACACTGCCCAGGGAAGCAACGAGGTCGTCCGAAATATCCTGTGGCCATCTACAAAAATCCACCAGGGCCTAGGAGGGGGCTTTCCAACCACAAGAGTCCAGTGTGTCCATTACATGACGGGAACATGTTCCGAAGGGTGACAGGCATGTGTACCTGTCCGTGTAGGAATGCCCCTTGGCGCAACATTGCGTGCAACTTACAGTGTGTGTGCATGTGGAAGTACACTGGCCAAGGAATACTCCACTATTTCTTTAAGGAATTATCCTCCTGGTCCCTAGCTCCGGCCCCTCCCTCCTCACCTGGAGTCTCCGGGGGCAACGGCTCAGGTGGGTTGCGGCATCTTGTGTCAGACTGGGCAGTGCCTGGCTCTGCCATCACCAAGCCATGGTCCTCACACCTGTGGAGGAAAAGGTCCCTGATCCTCTTCCGCTCCCCCTTGCAGCAGAGCCCCAACCGCAGAAGGCACACTAGCAGGGTCAAAGCAGGGTGGGTGCCGGCAGCTGGAGCTTTGTTGGAGGGCCACTGTACCTGGTGTGCGGTTGGCAGCGGGCACTGGAAGAGGAGGTGTTCTGGAAGTGTCCTGGCTGGCAGGGGACGCAATGATTGTCGGCCTCCGACACTTCATCTGCTGAGAGAAGAGCAGGTGGCCGGGCGGGCAGGCACACAGGGAGCCTTTTGCTCAGCGGCCAGCTCCTTCAGTGCCCATGGCGGCCTCCTGCTTGCCCACCTCCACATCTGCACCTCTCACTTGTCCCAAGCTCAACAAAACAACGCTTCCCCGGAGGGCCCCTGCCCCGATTCCAAACCCCAGCAGCCCCTTCAAGTGGGCCTTTTGTGTGAAATGAGTATGTTCTTTTCACACTAAGAACTATCTTGGGGAGAGGGAGGTTACCCCAGACAGACCATGTTCTTTGCCCCCGTCCAAGTTCACCAACACCCCGCCTTCTTTGCACCATCTGCCCTCGGTGACCCCTAACCTTTGAGCTCAGCCTCGGTGCCAGGCGGGCACTCGGGAAGCGGCTCGCAGTACACACACTCCAGGGCCCGGTGGGCACAGAACATGCCCAGCTGGCAGCGGCACTGGGTTTTTTGTTTGCTGGTGCACGGCGCGATCTCCTCGAAGCCCAGTACTGGTGGGGAGATGAGAGGTGGGGGAGCTCAGTGCTGTCTTAGGGGGACCCACTCCCCCACCTGCACCCCAGAGCCCCTGGGAGCACTTCCCCACTCACCGACGTCACAGGGGCGGCACATCTGGCAGATGGAGAGATGGTTCCAGTGCTCATTGTAGGAGTTCTCAGCGCACATGGCACAAGCCGTGTCCTGGCTGTGGCTGCATTCGGCTGCGACGTATGTGCCTAGGAGGTGACAGGTAGCAGGTGGGGACTCGCCTTTCCCCGTGCCATGCCAGGCCTGACCCTCAGTCCCTTCCCTATGCCCCCCTGCCTCCGGACACAAACCCCCAAGAGGCTCAATGAACAGAGCCGGTCACACCACCTGCCTGTGATGGGTGTCTAGCCTCTCTGTCCCTGCCGGCTGTCCTCTTGGGGGGCAGTGTTCATCTTCCCTGGCAGACTTCTGGGGAGAGGGGCCCAGGCACCCACCTGTGTCCCAAGCGTCCATTGCCTCTCACCTGGGGGGCAGCGGGAGCAGCAGAGCCCATGCTTGGGCTCATAGTACTGTTTTTCCTGATCCCAGCAGCTCTGGTTCTCCGAGTGGTAGGGGGGCACCTCGAGGGGGAGGCGAAGTGGAGTGGAACAATGAGCCAGGGAGGGTTAGGGGTGGCAGTCGCAAGGCAGAGACCCACCCAGCCGTTCTTCCCGACCCTCACCCGCACCTGGGGCCGGTTCCCTCCCTCACCAGCTGAGGCTGGGACGCAGCCAGGAGCCCGCAGAGGCCCAGCACCAGGGGCCCCCAAGCCAGGCCGCGGCCGGAGGCGGCCGGAGGCAGGCGCATGGTGCTGGCCCCTGGGCCGCTCCGACGAACCGGAGGGAGGTGGGAAGTTCGGAAGTCCCGAGCAGTGATGGCGGCGGCTTCCCGAGCCCAGCGGCTGGGCCGACGTGCCCCCCCGGGGCCGGGAGCGGCCGGGCCTGGCCTCCAGGGCTCCAGCGGCCCGGGCTCAGGAAGTGGGAGTGGAGCTAGCCGGCCGCGGGGCGGGGACAGGGAGCGCCGGGAGGGAGCGTCCAGGGCCGGCCTGTCGCAATCGCTGTCGGGGGAAGAGGAACAGGCTTGGCTGCCTCGACGCGCTGCCGCCGCCGCCGCGCTGGGCGGGCAGGCGGGAGGGGTGACCGGGAAAGCACGTGAGGGTGGCAGGCCCGGAACCTGGGCCTCCTCGCTTCTTCGGAAGCCCAGGGCTGCCGGGGACAAGCCGCGTGCGGCTGCTGGAGCGTGCAGAGCCTGGAGCAGGCCATCCCGAGAGCCCAGCGGAGGCAGTGTGACCCACGGCGGTGGACAGCTGGGTTGGGCGGCGGGCCCTGGCCAGCCTGAGAGTGCAATGAACCAACAGAAGCGTGGGGTGGGCATAAGTCCCAGTGGACGGTCGCTCCAGTTCCTGCTCAGCTCTGTGGCCATTTAGGACAAGCTACCAGCCAGCCAGTACCCACCCTACCCAGTTATGCAACGCACACATCAGTGGGCACAACCCAGGACCCTCGGCTGGGTGCAGCCGCCCTTCTCCCCTGCAGGAAGTGGGGGGCGGGGGAGGGCCTTAGCGGCCCCTCCTGAGTAGGGCATGATGGGAAGCCATGGCTTCAAGCTGGTCCATCCACTTGTGAGTCTTGGAATCGCTGACAGCATACCGGACAGCCCCTCCCCTTCTGGGCGAGGAGGCTGAGGTTCCAGTTAAGGGGTGTGGAGACACTGGCTTCCAGACTGCATCCCCAGCAGCCCATAGCCAGCTCCGTGGAGTGACTTGCATGGCGCTCTCTCATCTGCCGGTTTTCTGCTCCTTCTTCCGGACAGCCGCAGATGATGGAGGATTCCCCCAGACCGCGGGAGGTCACCTGCATGGGGGATGCGTGGAACCTGCTGCCTGCTGACTGCCTGCACCCCGCTGTGAGCTCACAACAGAGGCCTGGACCAAATGCTAGGCTGTGCAGTCTCACGGACGCCTGGTGCATGTACTTTGAAAGTTCAGGGTCTGGCACCTGCTACGTGCCCACTACAGATTTATGGAAAAGCTGGGACGATGCGCACATTGTATAGACACTTCATGACAGAACCAGCCCAGGATCCAGGCCTCTGGATTCCGGGTCCCAGCTCGCTGTCTGCCCCAGCTGACACAGCCCACCGGGGAACTGTGCCCTGCCTGACAACTGCATTTCCCAGAGACTCCTTTTCCCTCCAGCCTCTGCGGAGGTTCAGCCAGTAGGAGGCAGTGCCAGGAGACAAGTGAGTGGCAGGTGGGAAGAAGCGCTCTATTTTCCTGGCATTGCTTGCAGTTAGTCCCGGTTTGCCCTTTTAGTCTCGTATAACCTCTTCTACTGACGGCCTCCCTGGTGGTTTACTTCCTGCCAAGCAGTTCTAGAAGCTTATTTGTGTACAATGCTGTATTTCCCTGCCACCTTTCCAGTCCTGGAGATGGTTGCTGGCTCTTGCTGCGTTGCTTTCTGAGTGGCTTCAGGCTCCCCCATTCCTTCTCAGTTCTTCGCTGACCCAAATGCTAATGCTCTTATTGGATTTCTGCCATCCAAAAGACTTGGAGTGATTCTTGTTTTCTGGCCCTACCATTACAGACAAGCTTGCCAGTTGATAACTCACAGTATCTACCTGCCTTTCCCCAGTATAAGAGGAGGACATCATGGGGTGAGAAACCCATGGATTCTCAGTGAAGGGAATTGGTTTTTGATTTTTTCTTTCTGGATCCTTAAAAAAAAAAAAGAGAGAGAGATTTATTTATAGAATGCCAACAAGAGATGGAGAGATAACCCTCTCCGCTGGTTCACTCCTCAAATGGCCACGCAGCTGGAACTGGGCCTATCTAAAGCCAGGAGCCAGGAGCTTCTTCCGAGTGTCCAGTGTGGGCGCAGGGTCCCAAGGACTTGAGTCCATGCTCTGCTGTCTTCCCAGACCCTTAGCAGGGAGCTAGGTCAGAAATGGAACAGCTGGGACTCAAACTCCATATGGGATGCCAGCACCACAGACGGAGGCTAAACCTGCTACCCCGTCTGGGTTCCTTATCAGCTTCCAGGTTTGTGAATTTCCACTGTACAGGCGGAGTGCACCAGAGCCTCCTCAAAGTTAGGAGAGCAGCGAGTTCGCAGGGCCAGGCTCAGAGGAGGCTGTGGAGAGCCCCTGCTTCCCAGGGATTGCTGAAGAATCCAGAAAGGGAGTCTGTGGGACACATTCTCCCCACTACCTGCTCTTTCTCTCCTCCACACTGCTCTAGGAGAACTGGTGCCCTTGGAAAGGGTTTGGCAAACACTGAGCAAAGTGCAATGCAGAGGATGGGCCTTCAACAGAGCGTTTGCTTCTCAGTGGAGACAATGCTTTGCCAAGTCATTCTCAACTGAACCGATGGATGGAAGATCTCCCTCTCTCTGCCTTTCAAATAAAAAGAAAGGAAAATTAAAAAAAAAAAAAATGGGCCTGGCTTGGTAGCCTAATGGCTAAGTCCGCGCCTTGCACGTGCCGGGATCCCAAATGGGCACTGATTCTAATCCCAGTGGCCCGACTTCACATCCAGCTCCCTGCCTGGGAAAGCAGTAGAGGATGGCCCAAAGTCTTGGGATCCTGCACCTGCATGGGAGACCTAGAAGAAGCTCCAGGCTCCTGGCTTTGAATTGACTCAACTTCAGCCATTGTGGTCACTTGGAGAGTGAATCAATGAATGGAAGATCTTCTCTGTCTCCCCTCCTCTCTGTATATCTGACTTTCCAATAAAAAATTATTAAAAATTAAAAAGATAAACCTTAGATTCTACTCAAGAGGCTAATTCTCTGTCTTGTGCAATGGGTCAGCACACAGTGTTGTAGTTCTTTAGCTCCTGAGTCCCCAAGGTGACTAAGTCTGGCCCCTGACCTCAGACGACTCATAACAGGATCCACATAGGGCAAGGCGCTGTGGTGAGTTGAGTGGGACTTGCTTCTGCAACCCTCATGCAGATGGTTAAACTCTGGTGTCTCAATGTTAACAGACCAAGGGCAGAGACTTGATCTGAATCTGGTGTCTTAGAGGGAGGTGTGTGGGAGGTATGTGAGGCACTTGGAGGGGGTGAGGCATGCCCTGGGAGGATGGTTCTCACAAGGGGGTCCAATTCTTTGTCTGCTTCCTGACTCACCTGCCATGATCAGCTGCCAAGATGCCAGGCTACGGGATCACTCCATCCTGAATTGTAAATTCCCAAAGTGAGAATAAACCTTTTTGCTTCCCAAGAAGTTCCTCTTGGATATTTTCATTGAGGTAAGGAAAGGTGGACCGATACACACATGTGCATACACACACAACACACACACACGCATACATACACACCCCTCTGGACTGTAGCAAACAGCCGCGGGAAGAATTGAGATGGGTTTAATGTGGAAGAGAGGAGGCAGGTGAGCCCTTTCAACTCAGCTCTCATCCGTCTATAGACCCCTGCAGCCTTGGGGCAGTCCAGGGCCGCACCACAGGGTTAGGGGATGGCAGGCATTGGGTAGGGGAGAGTGTGCCTGGCTTAGAAGGAAAAGCTGGATCCCTGGGAGCTCTGGAAAAGGGTCCTTCCAGGCCAAGGTTATAGGGTCCCTAACCCCTTATGGAACAAGTGCCAGCTTTTCAGAAACGGTGTTTGGTGCAGTGGCCACGGTTGCCTACTTAGCACAACTGCTTTCCTTGGAATCCCTGAGCTTGACTCCGGGTTCTGCTTCGGATTCCCAGCTGTAGCTGATGGGCACCCTGGGAGGCATCAGGTGATGGCTCAAGTACCGGAGACCCCACATGGAGGTGAGTTCCAGGCACCTGGCTTTCGTCTGGCCCCGCCCTAGCTGTCACAGGCATCTGTGGAGTAAACCAGTGGATGGAAGATTGATCGATCGTTCGATCTATCATTTATCATCTCTGTATGTATCTTATCTATTTCTGTCTTCCCCCTGTTTCTCTTCCAAACCCAATGAAAACAAATCTAAAACATTAAAACATATCTGTGAGTCTTTAAAGGCATAGAAAACGATATAGACAACTTATCTTGCCTTCCTTTGGGTCAAGTGTAAGGGAAAGGAATTAAAAGGAACTGTCTGATGTTCTGTTTTACTTTGTATTGCTGGAAACTTATATGACAGCAAGTATGTTATTTCTACACTGTCAAAGATAATATTTAAGATGGAGTTCTTGGGGCTGGCATGGTATGTAGCAGGCTAATCCTCTGCCTGAAGTACTGGCATCCCATATAGGCACCGGTTTGTGCCCCAGTTGCTCCATTTCCCATCCAGCTCACTGCTAATGTGCCTGGGAAAAGCAGTGGAAGATGAACCAAATGCTTGGGTCGCTGCACCCATGTGAGAGACCTGGAAGGAGCTGCCAACTCCTGCCTTCAGCCTGGCCCAGTCCTGGTTGTTTGTTTTCTTTCTTTCCTTGTTTTTTTTTTCTCTCTTTCTTTCTTTCTTTCTTTCTTTCTTTCTTTCTTTCTTTCTTTCTTTCTTTCTTTCTTTCTTTTTCTTTCAAGATTTATTTTAGTTTGATTGCAAAGATAATTATACAGCTGGAGCTAAGTCGATGCAAAGTCAGGAGGCAGGAGCTTCTTCTGGGTCTCCCACGCAGGTGTAGGGTCCCAAGGCTTTAGGCCATCCTCAGCTGCTTTCCCAGGTCACAAGCAGGGAGCCGGATGGGAAGTGGAGCAGCTGGGACATGAAAGCCAGAGTTGCAGAGATGGCAGGTAGAGAGTGGTAGACAGAGATATCTTCCATATGATGGTTTATTTCCCCAGATGGCCACAATGGCTAGGGCTAGACCAGGTCAAAGCCAAGAATCACATGGGTGGCAGGAGTCCAAGTACTTGGGTGATCCCCTGCTGCTCTTTCCCAGGCACATTAGTAGGAAGCTGAACAGGAAGTGGAGCAATTGAGACAGGAGCCTGTGCCCATATGGCATGCCTGTGACTCAGGCAGTGGCTTTACCCACTATGCCACATTGCTGGCCTTGCAACCATCCATTTTTCATAAATGCCCAGGCAGGAGGGAGCAGCTGGTGGTTGCAGACCTGCCTTGTGGACTGTCTTGTGGGCCCTGCAGGCTGCATGTCTCCTGCTGCCACTGTGTGCAGAACGCCTGGGCTGAACCATGTCTCCCGAGTCCTTGACACTCCTCTTCAGGCTGCATTGAGGTTTGGGAAGAAAAACACAGCCCTGACCAAGGAGCTTTCCTTCCTCCCAGGTCCTAGGCACAGCCCTGGGCTGCACCGACCCTCCCCTTCCCCCTTCTCACCCCTAGGACTCCTTCCTCCCCACCTCTCTCTGGGCCCTGCCCTGTGCCCACAGTGCCCTGCTTGGCCTCTGCGTGGCCTTTTGGAGCCCACATTCCTGCTACCCCGTGGGGGATGTTGCACATTCCTGGCCTGGCAGCCAAACGCATTAAAAAAAGAACAGAATGTCCTAGAGCCTGGCCCCACCCCCGGGTTCACCTGAGCCCCTCCCTGCCCTGGACAAGGCTTGTGGGGGATGGGGGCGGAGAGGGAAGAGGAGTGGGGCAGACTGACAGGGGTGGGGGGTGGCATTTAGAGGGATTTTCGTGGGAAAATGAGGACCCTCCCCCTCCTTCACCTGGAGCTCCCTGCTCTTACTCCTACCTGCCTAGGAGTCGGCCCCTCCATGCCACCCTCCTAGCACAACCTCCATCCACCCCTTGCTCTTCCCCCAACCCCCATCAGCCTCCACCTGCCTTGCCTTTCTGCCTTCCCTAGCTTCCTGCTGTTCCCACCATCAATTCCTACCCTCATCCTCTTTCCTAGTTCTGTCTTCCAGCTCAGAATTCCACCCCACCCTCAAGGTGTCTCAAGACCCTCCCCTGCCTGCCAGGCCAGCAGCTCTTCCTCAGTCTCCTTACACCTTCTCTGCAGGGGTCCGGGGAAACCCCACTCTCCTCCCTAGCTCACCTCTTGCTGCTGGACTCTCGGCTCAGACTCCTCCTCTGTCCCTCCCCCGGCCCTGCTCACCTTTAATTGAGATGCTAATGAGGCTTCTGTGCTCCCATCCTGGCGGCTGGGCTCCCAGGCCTGGCCGCTGCACCTGTCAGGTGAGGGGGAGGAGAAGCCAGAAGCGCGGCTGCCAGACACAACTGGAAAGGAACCAGTCCCAGCACAGCCACACCTGGGAGCTGGGAGCAGCAGACGGCACAGACCTCAGAGAGCCCCGCAGGCCTGGGGCGGGGAGGGAGTCCAGGCCCAGCTGGCAGCCAGGGCCAGAGCCAGGAGAGAGCCAGATTGGTGGGAGGAGGAACGGCAAGACAGGCAGCGGGAGAGAGGTAGGATCAGGAGGCCGGCACCTGGAGAAGAGAGACAGAGAAGCCAGAAGGTGGACTGACAGCGCGAGAGACACGAGGAGCAGGCAGGGATCCTGAAGGAAGAAGCCTGGGACCCAGACTGGCTGAGCAGGGCTGAGACTGGTCAGGGAGGTGCTGGGACGGAACTGCGAGGTGGCCTTATCTGGGAGGCAGAGGCCACTCCAGGGAGTGCCGGCGGCAGTGGCTCTCAGCAGCAGGTCAGCTGCCTCCCAGAGAAGGGGTAGGAGGGAGACTGCGGAGCAGCTGGGAGTAAACCGGGCTCTGGGTGGGCTGTGGGTGTGGCAGGGGCAGCCTGACTCCAGGGTCATCAGGTGGTGATGGGGGAGGGCACCTAGGGCCCAAACTTAACCTTGACCCTCCTTGCCCTCTCCAGCATACCCCCAACCGGCTCCACCCCACCACCACCTGTCAAAGATCATGAAGGGGGACAAGCGTGAGGAGCAGGGTCAGGGCTCCGAGCCCGTGGCGCCACCACAGCCCACGGAGGAGGAGGAAGCTCTGATCGAGTTCCACCGCTCCTACCGGGAGCTCTTCCAGTTCTTCTGCAACAACACCACCATCCACGGCGCCATCCGCCTGGTGTGCTCCAAGCACAACCGCATGAAGACGGCCTTCTGGGCGGTGCTGTGGCTCTGCACCTTCGGCATGATGTACTGGCAGTTTGCCTTGCTCTTCGGCGAGTACTTCAGCTACCCCGTCAGCCTCAACATCAATGTCCACTCGGACAAGCTCGTCTTCCCCGCCGTCACTGTGTGCACCCTCAATCCCTACAGGTCAGTTGCCGCCTCCCAGGTGGCTAGAAGTATGGTGTGGTGGGCTAAGGGCTGGAATGTAGCTCCACTGCCCTTTGGGTAAGAGGTCACCCATTGGTGCCACCCAGCTCAATGGAGCCATCGCAGGGCCAGCTTTACCCAGTGTGTGCCAGTTGGAGCAGCAGGGCCTGTCGTCCCCAAGCCAAGGGGGAAGTGGTGCTGAGGAGTTCATGACTTCCAAAGGGGCAGGGTCTGGCTCAGCCAGCTGTCCTTCTGGAGTGAGCTTGCAGTCAAGACCCTGAGGGCCGGGCAAAGCGGACCACACGGGCCACATGGGCCACTCTTTGTGCAGAAGGCAAGTTAGTGCAAAAGACAGCACCGAAGGGGTAGGACCCCAATGAAAGCCTTGAGGCCAGGCATTTGGGGGAGGGGGTCCACAGCTGGAAGGATACGAGCTGACTCCAAAAGACAGAGACTAAAATGCGGGAGGGGGGAAGTGACCCCTGCCCGACTGGACTCTTCATCTTTCCCAGTACCTGGAGTTTAAGGGCTTGGGTGTGTCTTGAAGTTTTGGGTTTCATCAGTACTCTTTGCCAATCCTGATCTCAAAGCAGGAGGGGTTGGTAACCATGGAGGAGGGGGGCAGGGCTGTTTGTCTACTCCTTTTATTTGCAGTCACTTAGTCACAGCCTAGCCATGCCTAGGAAACACCTGGGTCAGGCCCTATATACCTAGGCATAGTGCAAAATGGATTCATGAATAATTCATACATCTTCGCCAAGGGCCAGGCACCTTGCTGCGCAGTGGAGTGGGAATAAAATCAGATGCTACAAATGGTAAAGCGCAGCTCATGGTGACAATCCAAGAAAGCCTTTATCTGCCTTCGGGGAGTAGCATGTGTGCCCTGGTGTGCTGAGTACTGAGCACTCACACTGGGTGTGCGTGCAATGGTGGATGATTAGAATGGGTCACATGGTGGGGGTGGAGGCCCCCTTCTATAATCCTCCATGGCCAAAGGTGTGTTGAGGATAATATGGGTTGGGACATCCTGTCCCTAAGGGAAGCAGCTTGGGGCCCTTTTGGTGTTCAATCTCTGTGTAGCGGCCACTCCTCCACCAGACACTGCCCAGTCCTCAGGTGCCTCCTCTGAGTCTCACACTCGCCTGGAGGCAGGTGCCATTCTCACCCTGGATTGACTTGGAAGGAAACAGAGTACCAGAAGGTGTCGCAGGGTCCCAGGGAGAGCCACGGAAGAGGGCTTCGTCCTGCATACCCAGCCCCCTAAAGCCTGCTTCTTCCTCACTCTCCACTTGCCATTTAGGAGATGTAGACCCTCGTGGTGGTCCCTCCTTCCGTAGTGGCAGGACTTGGCATCCAGGGCCGGCTCCAGCTGTGGTGGAGGCAGGGACAGCAGATAGGGTTGTAGGCGCTCGGTATGTGTGTGTGGGAGCAAAGATGGCCAGAACACTCTGAGCCCTGACTGTTTCCTAAGGCTTTAGCGGGTACCAAGAGTGGAAACCAGAGTCCCTGTCCCCAGAGCCCTGTGGGAAGGACTGCCCACCCCCTCGACTTGGTGGGGGGAGAGGAGTCAGGGGTTCCTTCCCCCAGTGCAGGGAAAGGAGATTGCCCACCTACTGTGTGCTTGGCCTTGTCCTGGCTGCTTCTCAACACATTGTTGCTTACTCCTGACTTATCTAAGGAGTTGGGAATCTTTATTTCCATTTCGTAGATGACGAAATTGAGGTTTAACAAGGTGAAGTAAGTTGAGTAAGATAACACTACTACTAATAATAATGACAATAATAATACAAACACATGCACATATGAGCCAGACACTTTTTGAAAGGCAAGGTTAGAGAGAGACTGAATCAGATATAAATCTTCCATCTACTGGTTCACTCCCAAAATGGCCCAGACCCTTAGCTGGGACGGGCAAGGTTAAAGCTAGAACCAAGAACTTCATCCTGGTCTCCCATATGGGTACCGCAGCCCAAGTACTTGGGTCATCTTCCACTGCTTCCCAGGCATGTTAGCAGGGAGCTGGATTGGAGACAAGGCAGCTGGAACTTGAACTGATGCTCTGCTGTGGGATGCTAGTGTTGCACCTGAATGCAGGCCCCAGGCATCTTGAATAAATGATCAAAATCTAAATTAAATAATTGTATTACTGAATTATTTAGTCCTCACCAGAGACCGTGGAAGTAGGCAGCTCTGTGTCTCCCATGATACGGATAAGGAAACTGAGGCTCAGAAAGTTAAGGAACTTGCCCATGCGCAGACAGGTGGCAAGAGGTGAAACTGGGATTCCCACCCTTAACTAAGAGCCTATGCATCCCGCGTGAGCAGCTGAGTCACCAGGCTGGGGATTGGCTCCCATGACACTCAACACAGGGGCAGGCCAAGGCATCACAGGGTGGGGGCAGCTGGTGGGAGGAGCGATCAGAGGAGGGGCAGCTGTCAGGAGAGTGGGAGAGGATGTCTGGGGCTGCTGGCTCCTCCTCAAGGAGAGGGCTGCTTGGGGGACAGGCGGTGCAGCCTACTGGGTGCTGAGCTGAGTGGGCGTCTTGGAAATGGCGCAGAGGGTGTGACCTGACCAGCTCCTGCAGCAGAGCAGGGAGGATGTGAGTCAGAAACAAGGAGGTACTGGAGGTGGCCAAGGCCACCAAGACTGCACCTGTTGAAAGATGCCACCAACAGAATGGGAGGGAGAAGATGCATGCACGGGACTAGTGCGCTTGGTGACTTCCAGGGAAGGGAGGGACTTGGGGACCTTTCAAATTAGCCACAGATGTGTTGAGGTTCCAATGGCAAAGGTTGGCCACTGCAGTGTCTGTCTTTCTGGACAGCAAAGGTTTTGTCACCCAGAGGAAAGGCAAGACGTACCCGCAATACCTGGAAAGCAAAGCCAGCACATGCACTTTGTCATCTAGGGCCAGATGTATGAGCGGGAGGAAAAGTAGAGGAGGAGCTGGGATTGAGAGCCACGCAGGTGTCGCAAGCAGTTTCACCAGCACCACGATGTGGGTCCCACACACCTGAGGCTACCCTTCTCTGCTAAGATGGCCAAGTGACAGGCTGTGCTCATGTGTCTCCTGCGCTGCTTCTCCGAGAACAAGAGCAACAGTAAACGCAACAGCACCACTGATGCATCCCACTTCCCAGTCCTTTTCACGCAGCAACTCAGCTAGTTCCCCTAACAGCCTCATGGGGGCAGGACTCTGTTCCCATCCAACAGATGATGAAACAGAGGCCCAGGGAAGAGAAACTAATAAGTGGCGAGGGTGTGAGTGAATCTAGAAAATTGATTAGAAAATTTAGCCCCTAGGGCTGGTGCTGTGGTATAGCACGTAAAGCTGCAACCTGTGATACTAGCATTGTATATGATTGCTGGTTCACGTCTTCACTGCTTCACTTCCAATTCAACTCCCTGCTAATGCACCTGGGAAAGCAACAGAAGATGGGGCCCTGGCATCCGTGTGGGAGATCCACGTGTCTCTTGGCTTCGACCTGGCCCAGCCCTGCTATTATGGCCATTTGGGGAGTAAATCAGCAGATGGCAAATCTCTCTCTCTGTGTCCCTTTCTGTCAATCTGCCATTCAAATAAAGAAGTCTTACTGACATCCTCCTACCCCAATAACCGTATTAGAGTCCTGGATTCTGGTTGCTGGGTTCCTGCATTTGCTATTTGACTCTTTCAAGTGAGGTGTAATTCATACACAGTAAAATGGACCCATAGAGTGCTTGTGGTGATTGCCCAGCTCTGTACTACCGTGCAAATGGTCTTTGAACATGATTTGTAGGCAAGTTCCAAGGCTGCCAGGATGGGAGGAGGTCACCGGGGGTCAGATGGAGAGAGGAGACACAGATGGGTCAGGAAGAGGAGCATCTGTCCCTAACCCCCTAACGCCCCGTGCCTTGCCAGTCTATCCTGAACAGAGAAGAAGGTCTGGCGGGGAGCTATAGGTACCAGGAAGCGCTTTGGAGCTGGGAGGCTGAGGGAGTGAAAAAGGCAGCCCAGCGGAGTCCTGGTGGTTGTAGATAACCCTGGGGAAGTCGACAAGTTGCCAGGTGCTCACCTGCAGATTACTAAGAGCAAGACCTGGCTGATGGCCTTGTGTAAGGATTCATCCCCTTTTCAATGCAGCCCTGACTGCCGGAATTGACATGAGTGAGGCCATGACAGTGACCTGGGTAGGAGGGTGAGGTAGGAGGGGCCAGATGCTCCTGTTGAAGGGCCATGGCCTGCATTCTTGATCTTTCTAAACCCCTGAGACAGCTGTGAGGTCATCAGTGTGTTTTAGTGGCCAAGGTGGTAACTCAGGGTTAGGCATTTGGCATACCATTTAAGCTGCAGGGTGGAATGCCTGCAACTCAAATCACACTACCTGGGTTTGGGCCCTCACTTTGCCTAGGATTCCAACTTCCTACTCATGCACATCCCAAGAGGCAGCAAGGACGGCCCAAGTACTTGGGTCCCGGCCACCCATGTGGGAGAACCTGGAGTGGACACTTGGGAAGTGAACCAGTGGTCAGGAGCTCCCTCTGCCTTTCAAAGAGACAAAGAAGAAACGACAATCGGCAAGACAAAGGCTCTGCTTCCCGTCTCAGGCTTTTCTACTGTTTCAGAGTTAGGGAGGGAGAGATGCATTTTTTTGAGATGGTGCCACCCTTTTTCTTCCTTTGAGTCAAAGGGAAAGTGCAAAAAAGAGAGAAGTAGACTTTGGAGAGCAGGGAGCTCCAGGTGGTACCTGGCCTCTTCTGGAAACCAGGTTGCAAGTGTTGGAGGGAGGTGGAGATCAGGGGCCCTTCTGGAAGACTCAGGAGGAAACCGAGGCTGGTGAGTAGTGCCCAGGGAGAGCCTGGCACAGGGACAACATGGGGCTGGACGGAGGAGAGTGACGTGGTTAAACAAGTGACAGACAGTTTGGAGTTGCTGCCTTGGGGGAAGGCATGCAGGCAGTAATGCAGGGGCCCAGAGGGACTTGAGCCAGCTCAGGGTGGCATGGAAGGGGAGGCCCAAATAGAGCTGGGGTGACCCCTGTCATGGAATGAACAGCTGCCCCACGAGGGAGGACCTTCATTCTTCTTGAGTGGCTATGAGAAAGACCCTCTATTCCCTGGTCTCCAGCCTCCTGTCCATCTCTTCCCTTGGTGTGGCTGAGTATTTTCCAGAGTGTTCCGTGAAAGGCGGATCTAATGTCAACACCCATGTCACAGATGAGGAAGTGAGGCTGAGAAAGGCTGGGTCGTTTGTGCACATTCCACAGCTAGAAATGGGGCTGTTGGACCTCCTGGGACTCACAGCCAGCTGCTCTGGCTCCAGTACTCTGCCTTTCCAATAAATGGAAGTCTGTGATTCCTTTTAAATTTTTTTATTTGTTTATTTTCATTTTATTTGAAAGAGATTGAGGGAGGGAGAGTGAGAGAGAGAGATTGCCTATGTGCTGGTTCACTCCCCAAATGTCCACAACATTCGGTGTGCGGCCAGGCAGAAGTTGAGAACTACAGCCGTACCTCCCTGGTGTCCCCTGGGGATGTCACGAACAGCATCACCTGCTGTTAATAGTCGCTGTGATCACAAGCAGAGCAGCCAAGACTTGAACCAGGCATTCTGATAGGGTTGCAGGGGTTCCAAGTGGTGACTTAACCACTGCACCTCTCTTCCTGTCCCTAGGACTCTGGGGCTTCAGAAAACTACCTAAAATAGCAGAGGTAATGGCAGAGGGAGGGTGGTGTGGTGTGGTGATGATGGTCTGACCCATTTCCTAGCCATACAATCTTGAACAAGTCAGCAAGCCTCAGGTATCAGTGGCTAATAGTATATGAAGTTGCACCAAAGACTAAACAAAATATACATGCTTTGAAAAAAAAAAAAGATTTCATTGAAGTCAGAGTGATGGAGAGACAAAGGAAAATCTTTCCTTCAATTGTTCACCCCCAAAATACTTTAAAACAACACTCCAATATGGGATCCCAGTGTTGTGAGGGGTGGTTTATCATGCTGTGCTACAATACCAGCCCCCGCAAAATGTACATTCTAATACCACAGTGCTTGCCTTACATTTAAATGCTCAAAAATATTAGCTGTTATTGTTATTCTTTTTTTTTTTAAATTTTTTTTTCAATTTGAGAGATGGAGAGACAGAGATTGACAAAGCTCCCATCTGCTGGCTCACTCCCCAAATGCCTAGAGTGAAGATGGGATCCAAGACCACAAACCAGGACTCCCACACTGATGGCCTGGACCCAATTTTCATTCTTTTAATTACCAATAACAAATCTCTCAGGATATCCAACCCACACTTTTCATGTGAGCCACATCTTTTCCTATGAGGGGAGAAAGTGCTGTAAGGATAGATGCGTGAAGCCCAGCCAGCCAGACCTTATGAGGGAAGAGACAGAGCCAAACAAAGGAAGGTGTGAGGGTCTGGTGCTTGGTGGAGCTGGACCACGAGACGATACGATGAACACATCAGGACCACGCAGGAGTTCTTCTGAACAACCTTGAGGGCTGGTGTGCAGCAGTGGTGTAGGTCATGGCTTGTGGCACCTGCAGCCCACACCATAGTGCCTGGGTTGGAGTCCCAGCTCCACTTCTGATTCCAGCTTCCTGCTGATGTGCACACTGGAGGCAGCAAGTGATGGCTCAAGGACTTGGGTCCCTGCCCTCCATGTGAGAGATCCAGTTAGAGTTTCCTGGCTTCCAGCTTTGGCCTGGCCTCAAATCTAGTTATTGGGATCATTTGGGAAGTGAACCAGCAGGTGGCAGATCGACTTCTGATTCAGTCTCCTGTGAATGCACCTGAGAAGGGAGCAGAAGATGACTCAAGCGCTTAGGTCTCTGCCACCATGTGGTAGATTTGGGAGAAGCTCCTGTCTCTTGGCACCTACCTTGCCCATCCCTGGTCATTGTGGCCTTTTGGGGAGTGAACCAGTGGATGGATGGTCTCTATTTTTTTCTGCTTATATCTGTCTTTGAAATAAAGAAAGAAGTGTTTTTTGTTTTTGTTTTTAAAATATCAGTTAATGAAACATTTTCACCCAAGATGGTGTTCAAAGCAGAGAAGGAAGCTCCTGTCCTTGGAATGCTGCAGCCAAAGTGTAGGGGTTGAAGTTCCAGAAGGTAGTGCTGGAGGATGACTCAGCCAGAGAGGAAGGCCCCTCCGCCCCCCACATCAGTACCCATCCTGTGACTCCCGAGACAGTGTGGCTCCAGAAAGCACGCCCCCAGGAGAAGCACGCTCCACAGCTAGGCCATAATGGACTTGCTCTTAACCATAGAGTCTGCCACGAAGAAGACAACACCACGTTGTGTTCACCGTGGCTATGACGGGCAACAAACGCCAGCTCCAACTGGCCGTGAGCAAACCTGCCACACTTGTGGCCAAGGTCAACACTGATGAGGGGAAGAAGGCGTAGGCTGGAGTGGCTCCTGACTGGGGTGCCTTGGGTGTTGCCAATAAAACGGGATTATCCACTCCCAGTCCAGCTGACTCGTTGTAAAGATACGTTTTGTTTTGTTGTTGTTGTTAATGGTGAGGAAAAGAAAAGAAAAGGAAGTCCAAGGACAGGTGTCAGGGGACGCTAAGCAGGGCCAGGAGAAATGAAATGGAAAGAGAGCATGGTTTCTCTGGCTTCTCCGTGAAGTTTGTAGACGTTTGTTTGCAGGTGTTGATTTCCGGACTCTCCTTAGTGTCTGTCCTTGCCAAGAATTACGCTGTTGTGATTACTGTGTCTTTTATGGCAAGCATTGAGGTCAGGTTCTTTAATAGGGTGTTGCTTTTGTGATTTCATTCTCCAACGTTTGGTTGCTAGCAGGTAGACACACAAATGATTTCTCTGTGTTGGTGTGTGTCCTGCAGCGGTGTGCACCGGTATTGGGGTAGACTGTGGGCCCCCCGCAAGGTGCTGTGGCCCTAGGCATTCACCATTGAGATGCTCATGGGGTGAGGGTTCGAGTTTTGGGCGTAACGGGTTGGCACTGTCTGCTGTGTCTGACTTTGACGTTGAAACCACCTTGATTTCCAAGCTGCCAGGTGGCAGATACGGGCCAAAGGTCACCTTGGACTGTGGAGGGCGCGATGACCTGCGCACCCAGCCAGATAGCTCCTGGGAGTGTCGTGGGGCCTCTGCACCTGCTCTCGCCTCACCTCGGTCAGGCGCGAAAACAAGTTCCTGGTAGCCCCTGCCAGGTCTGAGCGAGTGGGCGGAGGTGCCCGCCGCCTCCCTCTCTCAATAATAACAGGCGCAATAAATGCCGTCACCGTCCCAGCTCACTGTCGCTTCCACTTCCCCCGCGGGACACACCTGTCTACACCTCCACCCCCGTGACGGGCCTCTCGGGAGATGCATCAGCCAACCCCCCTGCCCAGGCTTCTCCAAGGATCCTACCAGCTACAACTAGGGAAATTGAGGCCTTGGGAGGGAAGTAGAAGGTGGAATTGGCGCCAGGCTATCCCCCGGTCCGACGCTTTGCCGTGACCCCTTGCAGGTATCCCCAGATTACAGAGCAGCTGCAGGAGCTGGACCATATCACGGAGCAGACGCTTTATGACCTGTTCAAATACAACTCCAGCACCCCAGCCGCCCAGCCCCGAGCCCGGCGCGACCTCCGGCGGAGGCTGCCGCACCCCTTGGTGTGGATCCCGCCCCCGCGCCACGAGGCCCGCCGGGTGCGCAGCGTCTCCTCCAGCGTGCGGGACAACAGCCCCCAAGTGGACAGAAAGGACTGGATGATCGGCTTCCAGCTGGTAAACCCCGCCCCCGTACCGCGACACAACACCCCCTTCCGCATCCACCCACCTCCGCAGTCTGGCCGGGACCTCGTGGGCTGGAGGGAGGGAAAAAAAGATCAGTTAAAGTAACAGCTCCCAGTGCAGCGGACTGTAGGGAGCTGCTAGGCGAGGGGGCCTCCGAGGAAGCCGCGGGGATCTCCCCGCACGCTCCAGCAGGGAGATGCGGGGTACAGGACAAGAGAGGCTTTAAAAACAAACAAACAAAAAACAACAAAAAAACAAAAACACCCCCCCCCCCAAACAAAGCCTTGAAAACTGGGAAGTAAGAGGAAATGGAAGAGGAGGGAGGGACAGAGAAACGGAAGTCTGAGAGAGAGGGCTACACCCCAGGAAGCTGCAGTCCTTGATCTGTCAGTCTTTCTACCTGGGAGATGGGTAGACTCCTTGGTTGTTCACCCAAGAAGCACAGCCCATGGTGTATGGCTGCCTAGGTCCTTGGCCCTCTGTGATCTTAATGCCTTGTCTCTTGGGGGCTCCTGCTTCTGGGGGCTCCTGCTTCTGGGGCCACCTGTTCCGACTCTCCTATGGTGTCCCTCCCCCTGCCTCCTCCCTCCCCCTGCCCCCTGCTCCCTCCTCCATTCCCCTAACGTTGGCCCTATCTCTGTGCAGTGCAATCAGAACCAATCGGACTGCTTCTATCAGCGTTACTCATCTGGTGTGGACGCGGTGCGGGAGTGGTACCGTTTTCACTACATCAACATTTTGTCCAGACTGTCGGACACCTCTCTGTCTGATGAGGCGCTGGGTAACTTCATCTTCACCTGCCGCTTCAACCAGGCCTCCTGCGGCCACAGGTGAGTCCTGAGTCCCGCCTGGACAGGCAGGGATCTCCCTCTCTGGGAGCGTCAGCCTGGGAAACACTTGTTGACTGAGTACTTAAATGAGTTCCAGCCCCAGGTGCACGCTCCTCCTCCCCCCGGGAAGCAGCATGCACAGCTGTGCCCTGAACAGCAGGCTCTGGGTCAGGCAGCCTCATAGGAGTCCTGGGGCCATTGGGTTGGGGTGACCTTGAGAAATCAAAGGCTGAAAGCAGGGTTCTGGGTTTTTCCAAGTATCTTCTCTCTCTTTTCCTGGCATCAGGGCTCAGCTCAGCTGACAGATCACCCTGCCCTATACCTGCCTTCTCCCAAAGGGCCGGCCTGTTAGGCTGCTTGGGGTGCTTGAATTTAGGGGCTAACCCCAGATTCCCATTCCAGCTCTGTCACCTGCCTAGGTGACTCTGAGCATTTACACACTGCTCTTTGGGGCTGCTTCCTTGTGAAACGGAAGATAGTAACGCACAAAACTGAAGGTTGCTGTATTTATCCAACAAGTCTTGTCGAGGGTCTGGGCTAGGCATCTGTGACACAGCAAAGAAAAATAAAATGGGCCATCCTAGCTCTTGGGGCACCTTAGGTGGCCAGCGTGATACACATGACACCTGCCTCTGGAGTGACCCATGTGTTTGAGGTTACAAATGGAGGCAGGGCAGCACAGTAGATAGAGCTGCCACCTGCAGCTCCGGCATCCATATGGGTTCTGGTCTCAGCTGTGGGATCCAGTCTAAGCCATTGCACTTCCGATTCAGCTCACTGCTAATGCACCTGGGAAAGCAGCAGAGGATGAGTCAAATGCTTGGGCCCCTGCACACAGATGGGAGACCTGGAGGAAGCTCCTGGCTTTGAACTGACCCTTCTGTGGTTACTGTAACCATCTGGGGACTGAACCAACAGGTGGTCCAATTAAAACAAATGTTTAAAAAAATTGGGGCGGGGAGGGAATCTTCCATTAGCCAGATGGGTCCCTTTACTCATACAGGTCAGTGACTTCCCCTGGGGCACCTGGCTGGCCCGGGCTGCAGATTTTGTCCACCCACCGCTCTTCAGGACTTCTTTCTTTATGGGCCCTGTCCTCCGGGCTGGAAGCTACAGGCTGTCCTAAGGCTGGAAGCAGTCTCCCCTGCCTTCCTCTGCTCCTGCCTGGCCTTGGCAGCAGCAGGTGCTGATTCTCTCAGGGGGCCCTCCCCTTCCCTGTGCCAGCAGTGCCAGGTGTCTCCTGCCTCTGTCCCTCCCTCCTCCCCTCTATGCTCCCCATTCCCTGCACTGCCCAGCCCATGACTTGGTGTGTGTTTGAGAACGTTACCAGCTGGGCAGTGGACAGCCCCCGAGCCTGAATCAGATCTTGCCTGCCACCTGCTGCCTGCCATCTGCCATCTGCCGCCACTCGCTCTGATTAGTAGCCCCCCTCTGCCTGTGGTTTTCATCCTGATCCCCTTCCTTGGCTAGGCCTCCATTATCCTGCCTGATTGTGAATTGGAGTATACCTTTGGACCACGGCAGAACACGCCACCACACTCACTCCCCGTCCCTTCACCCGACTTCATCATTCCAGCTAGTCCTTAAAAATCCTGGGGTAGCCCTCAGGGTCTTTAAAATCAGTGGAAGCCCCTTAGATCAGGTTTTCCACAAAGCCCTTTCCTTGTCCTTATCTGAAGCCCTCATTCTCTCCTTTGGTGATGTTTCTATTGACATATTCGCACACCATAAATTCTTTCTTTCAGTATATTCAGAATTGCACAATATTCGCCATCACTCAACTGTAGAACAAGTTCCCACCCAAAAGAGAGGCCCTGGACAATTGATAGTTCCTCTCCTCTCTCCCCTCCTGCCTGCCCTTATCCGTGCCATCTCCTGCCCTCCTCTTACCTTACTCTTGTCTGTACCATCCTCTCACCCACCTGGTTTTCTCATCCATACTGCAGTGTGAACCAGAACGTCATTTCTTCTTCTCTTTAATGTTCCTTTATTTGGTTTTATCTACTTGAAAGGTGGACAAGGGGAGTTGAGGGAGAAGGAGAGAGAGAGATCTTTTGTCTGGTTTATTTCCCAAATGCACACAATAGCCAGTGCAGGGCCAGGCTGAAGCCAGAAGCCCAGAACTCTGTCTGGGTCTCCCATGTGTTGTCAGGGACCCACACACTTGTTGCTGTCTGCCAGGGAATGCATGGACAGGAGGCTGAATGGGAAGCAGGGTAGCCAGGACTTAGACCTTTGCTCTGATGCCAGATGGGGGTGTTAGTGGCTGGTTTAAGCCACTGCCTAACAACGCTCCCCCTCTGGAACCCCATGGAGTTTATGACTGAATAATAATATATTGTAGGAGTGAATTTTCAAAGATTCATGGAAAAGTGGAATGAAATAATCAGCTTTGGACAGGCGTTTAGCCTGGTGGTGCCGATGCCTGCTGGCGTCCCACAGTGGAATTTAGCCTGGGTCCTCTAGCCAGCTCTGGCTCCTAGCTCCACCTATTGCTCATGCAGCTCCTGCGGGGCAGCGTGGCCAAACCCCAGCCTGCTGGGGATTCCCTTCCTGGCACAGCCAGAAGCACCAGTTTAGAAAGAACGCCTTGCCCAAGGCAGTACAAGGAGGCCCCTCATTGCTCACTCCTCTAACCTTCTCCCCTTCTCATTTCTCTGCCTTCCTCCTCTGCCTTTTGTGGACCTAAAAGCCTCAGGTCCCTCTTGCCCTGCACCTGTCGCCAGCCCCGAGATGCAGGTCTGGTAGGACAGAGACACCCTGTGTCGCCAGGGGGCTCTTTCCGCCGCCTCCCTGCCACAGCCTCCTTGCAAGGCAGCCTGTGATGTGCCGTCAGATCCCACAGCTACTGATGCAGTGCTTGCTTCTGCGGCGGCTTTCTCCCTTCCCACATCCGTCTTGCCTCAGCTTTGGCCCTGCCAGTCTGAGCTGTGAGGCCTCTTTCCTGTGCTGGGCTCTGAGCTTCCTCTCCTTAGCCCCCTACTGACTGCTGCTCTCTCCTCTCTCTCTTTCCTCTCACCTCGCTCCACACCCCCATGATGATGTATCTATGTCTTTTGCTTCCCCCCTGGGCAACTCTCCACTGTCTTGAGTCTCCCTTGTGCCAGGAATCCTGGGGTGGGGACTGCATGGGGGAGGCCAACCCCGGGATGACAGAGGACAGTTGGGGGGAAGGGACCCCACTCTAGAGCAGCCTACGGTGCATGTAGGAGCACAATTTAGATCCGTGAGCAGTCAGGGGGCACAGCACAGCCACATGAGAGAGGTTGAGGGCAGCCTGGATGTCAAGGCCTGTAGGGTCGGACAGCCTGGTGGGCGGAGCCCAGGCTAGCAGGTGCATGACCTGGTTGGAACCCCAGGTTCATTGCCACCATTGATGTGGCCTTGGGTTGGCTGTTTTACCTCTGGGAGCCTTAGCTTCCTCTTCCCACAAGGTTGTTGTTCTGTGTGACTGGGGAGGTTGGGGGTGGGGAGTGTGCCAGGTACCTAGTTGAAAGTGTCAGCCCCTCTCCCCTCACCTCTGAGTTTCCCCTCAAACCTCACCATCTCTCTCCTGCTCAGGAATTACTCTCACTTCCACCACCCAATGTATGGCAACTGCTACACTTTCAACGACAAGAACAACTCCGGCCTCTGGATGTCTTCCATGCCTGGGGTCAACAATGGTGAGTACCTTTTACCCCATGACACCTGGACCCCTCTCTCTTTCTCTCTTTCTCCTGTGGGCATCACCCAGTCTCCAGAGTGCAATTCCAGCATTACCAAGTCCATAGACAGGTCTCTCTGGCTTCATTCCCCTTGGAGCCCAGACAAGGTGGGTCTTCTCCAAACCCCATCCCCTTCATCAGCTCTGCTCCCTGGGTCTCGCACAGGTCTGTCGCTCACACTGCGCACGGAGCAGAACGATTTTATCCCCTTGCTGTCTACGGTGACTGGGGCCAGAGTGATGGTGCATGGGCAGGACGAGCCTGCCTTTATGGACGATGGCGGCTTTAACTTGAGGCCTGGAGTGGAGACCTCCATCAGCATGAAGAAGGCAAGGCTGGGGAGCTGGTGGGGAGCAGGATTGGGGCAGGATCAAGTGGGGGCTGCTGGAAGAACTGTAGACCAGGGAGAGGCAGGGAGAGAAATGGAGGTGGCTTGGCAGCCAGAAGATGGTGAAGGGGGATGTGGGGTCTTGATCATGGGGTTTGTCCTTTGGGAAGGCCTTGGGAGGTAAGGCCCTGGGGGGGCGTGGATGTTGTTGCTGGACAGTGTGAGAAAGGGCTCAGGCCACACTTAGCCTCCCAGAGGCTACTCTGACCTCCTGTCCTTGAAGTGAACCCAGAGATAGGAGGCAAGGAGGAGGGGCAGGCAGGGTTCGAGGCTCAGCTGGGGACCAGAAGGGAGGGGCCGCTTGCTCTGACCCCTGAGTCTGCGTGGGCTCCTAGGAATCCCTGGACAGGCTTGGGGGCGACTACGGCGACTGCACCGAGAATGGCAGTGACGTCCCAGTCAAGAACCTCTATCATTCCAAGTACACACAGCAGGTGAGTCTCAATTCGTTTCCATGGTAACCATCTCCCAGGCCTGCCCTGGTCTGTCCACAGTCAGGCAGGTGGTGGTGTTTGTGTGCAGGAGTGAGGGAGGGTGAGGTCCAGTAGAGTGGGAAGAAGGACGGTTGTGTGGGGAGGGCTGGGGCTGGGCCAGAGCCCCTCCTCATCTGTCACTCTCCACCTGCCAGGTGTGCATTCACTCCTGCTTCCAGGAGAACATGGTCAAGGAATGTGGCTGCGCCTACATCTTCTACCCGCAGCCCCAAGGCGTTGAGTACTGCGACTATAGGAAGCACAGCTCCTGGGGTGAGCGGCCAGGGAGCCCTGCTGTATGCTGCTGGCCCTGGGTGGGTGTTGTCTCCCTCCCTCCCCTAGTCCCCACCCTTGGCCTTCCCGTGTTTGTCAAGGAGTTGCCCTGTTTATAAATAGCCTGCAGCTTAAGGAAGGAAGGGGCCCAAGGCGGCCGATTCTTGCCCTGCCAGCTGCAGAGTGCCCAGCTCCCCTTCATTTCTGGGGTGCTTGGTAGGGTGGGCCCTGGGTGCTGCAAGAACCTGTTAGAATTTCTGGGTGTCAGACTCATCCCTTCACATGTGCGGGTTTTAGACTGGCCCTGACACTTGTGCTCACTAGTTCCACTCTGTCATTTATTGGAAACAATTTTTAACTTATTATTTTTTAATCTATTTGATAGGCAGAGAGAGACAGGTAGGAGCTGCTAGCTCAATCTGGGTTTCCAAATTAGGTTGACAAGGACCCAACCCCTGGAGCCGTCACTGGGTCTTAGCCCATTCTCTTGCCATTTGGAGCGTGTAGGAAGTGAAACTAGCGGATGGGCGATAGATTTCTCTTTCTCTGTCTCTCTGCCTTTGAAATAAATGTGTAGAAGAATGTTTTGTTTTCTTTTAAACCCGGAAGAGAAAAATCCCTTTCCTTTCCAGTCTTGTTGAATTAACGCAGAGGGGCAGCTGTGTGCTGGGAATGTGGAGGCAGGAAATCCTGGCGAGGAAAAGGAAGAAAGGGTTTGCATTCCTGGGGTTCGGGCGGCTCTTTGGCCTGGCAAATCTTTGATCCATTGGTTCACACCCCAAGTGGCCACAACGGCCAGAGCTGAGCTGATTGAAGCCAGGAGCCAGGAGCTTCTTCCAAGTCTCCCACGCAGCTGCAGGACCCTATGGTTTTGGGTCATCCTCTACTGCTTTCCCAGGCCACAGGCAGGGAGCTGGATGGGAATTAAAGCAGCTGCAACTCGACTGGTGCCCATATAGGACATGGACCTTGCTATGGAGGCTTTATCCATTATTGCATCACGCTGGCCTTCTCTTCTTTCCTTTGAATGGCCCAATACTAACTTGTGTGGGTGCACTACCTTTGGTTGGCTTCCACACGTATGAGTTGGTGGATGCTTGGGCTCTTGTGGTGTTTTGATTTTTCTGAACCAAAATGGTTTGTGTGGTTTTGGGGGTGCATTCCCCGAAGTGGACTGGGCAGCATTTGTGGTCATATTTTGTTTAACCTGGGTGGGAGGCTCCCAGATCCGTTTTTCTTAGCATTTTATATTCCTGGCAGCAGTAAATGAGGGTTCATTTCTCTGCTGCCCGACCAGTACTGCTCGCTCTCTTTTTGTATGCCAACCAAGTGTAATGCAGTAGGTACCTTGTGTGGTTGAATCTCTTACACAACAGCTGTTCCCATTTTCCTTTCTGACATGTCCGTGTCTGTCTGTGCACAACTTTCTATGGGTGGATCCTGTTTGACTTTGTTTTCTTCCTTTGCTGACCCAGCTTGATTCTTGCAAATGTTCTACTGGCGAAGGGGTGCCATTTCCCCCTCTGCTGTGTAACGCTCTGGTGCAGTGGGTGCCCGGGGACCTCAGGGGCGCTCCTGGTGTGGGGTGGGGGAGGCTGAGGTTCCTGTCTGTGCCCGCAGGCTACTGTTACTACAAGCTCCAGGATGCCTTCGCCTCAGACCGCCTGGGCTGCTTCACCAAGTGCAGGAAGCCGTGCAGGTCCGTGGCCCCACCCCAGCACTCCGGTCGGGAAGCTGCTGGCTGGGCAGGTTGTATTGAGCCCCTTTCTGTCTGCCCCCGCAGTGTGACCAACTACCAACTCTCTGCGGGTTATTCACGCTGGCCGTCGGTGGCTTCCCAGGTAACGTGTTGGGGACACGCTGTGCACGTGCGTACTGGCAAACACAGAGGGGGAGGCTTTGACAATCCCTCTTCTTCCTCAGGACTGGATCTTCCAGATGTTGTCCCTGCAGAACAACTACACCATCAGTAACAAGAGGTGGGACCTGCCCTGGTCTCTGTGCCAGCAGAGGTGTCCTTGGGAGGTGGTTGGGGGACGGTGGGTGAGAGGGAATCAGACAGGAGCCAGGAAGAAAATTCTTTGTCATTTCTTTCTATCATCCCTCTCTCTCCAAAGGAACGGGGTTGCCAAACTCAACATCTTCTTTAAGGAGTTGAACTACAAAGCCAATTCTGAGTCTCCCTCTGTCACGGTAGGGATCCCGGAATGCTGGCAATGCTGGCGACGGGGAGGGCTGGCCCAGAAAGGGAGGGTGCTTATGGAAAGGGGATGGGATCCAAGTTGGGGGTGGGGAAGAGGAGGGAAAAAGGGGTGTAGCGCTGGGGGGTGTCCTAAGGTCTGTGGGGGTCGGGGAGGCAGGGGTCCAATGGACAACGGAGGGCTGGGAAATGTACCCTAATTCCTGCTGCCCCCAAGGCCACTGTGACCTTGTTGGAAGTTTGTCTGGTTGATTCCAGCTGGGAGCTTGTGTGCTGCTTATGGGACAGGTGCAGAGGCATGGGTCTGGGGGTCACAAGAGCCAGAGGGTGTGGGTGAAGAACCACCTTCTTCGGCGTGGCCACTGTGCCCCTCTCCCCTACAGATGGTCACTCTCTTGTCCAACCTGGGAAGTCAGTGGAGCCTGTGGTTCGGTTCTTCCGTCCTGTCTGTGGTGGAGATGGCTGAACTCATCTTTGATCTCTCTGTCATCACATTCCTCATGCTGCTCCGGAGGTTCCGCAGCCGCTACTGGGCTCCAGGCCGGGGAGCCCGGGGGGCACAAGAGGTGGCCTCCACGCCAGCCTCCTCCCTCCCCTCCCGCTTCTGCCCCCACCCCACGTCCCCGACCCTGCCCCCGGTAGCCTTGACTGCCCCTCCCCCTGCCTATGCCACTCTTCACCCACGCCTGTCTCCTTCTGGCTCTGTAGGGGCCAGCGCTCCCCCCTGTGCCCTGAAGCAGCCCTGAGAGGGGACAGTGTCGTGTCCCTCCCCCGTCCCCCACGCAGCTGCTGCCCCTGGGGCCTTGATGGAAATGGGGCTTCCCCTCAGAGCTGCCCACTGCCCTTAGTAGGTGGGCATGGGGGCCCTGGACGTTGTCCAGAGCAGCAGTGGGGAGTGAGGCTGCCCGGAATTGGCCTTGGCTTCTGCTCAGTGCTCCTCAGAGCACTCTGGCATCCCCGCCTGAGAGCGAGCTGAGCTGGGTTTGGAATGTGGACAAGGAATTTTTCTAGGAAACGGCCAACAGCCAAACACAAACAAAGGCACACGAAGGCATGTACCGGTCTTGTACCCAATGGTGACTGCTGGCCAGAGCTGGCCCCAGAGCGGCCTGGCAGGACGCGGGTGTCTGCTCCTCTTCTTGAACTTGAGTGGGAAACCCCACCCAAAAGCCCCCTTTAATTTGTTCTTGGGCAAGTCCCCTTCCCTGGCTCGCAAGGGTGAGGGCTGGAAGTAGGGCGGTGTACTGAAGGCTGAGCCACTCCCAGTCGGTGCCAGGACTGTTCCAGCCACATGCCTCTTGTCCTTGCTGAGCTGTTCGCATCCCAGTGCCTCCGTCCTCTGCTCTTTGGGTGCCTGTAAGTCCGCTCAGGCTGAGTTGCCTGGAAAACTCCTATATGTCCCTCAGAACCCTGCTTGGACACTGGGACTTCTGGGGAAGCTTGTACCCAAGTGCTGACCACTGCCTCCCCTTGGGACTGTCATCGCCTGCGTCTGTTTTGAGTGTCTTTGTTGCATTATTCTTCCTTGTTCACTTGTGTGGGCTTCCCTGGTTAAATTGCAGACTTCTTGTGGCCAGGAACTGAATCTTGCCCATGAACCTGTGCCTTAGGTCCAGCCCAGTGTCCTGTTTGCAGCCAATAGGCAGGTGCACAATAAACACGTGTGTGAGTGTGTCACAGAGATCTCCCGAGAACTTCATGGGGGACGTGAATTCCTGAGTCACCACGTCACTGCTCAAGCTGCCTGGAGATCTTGGGCTTGGGCGGGGGAGGGACAGATCGTCCTTGGCCTTGAGAGACAGCCATCCTGGGAGCGCTTCCATGTTACTGAGAATGTGCTGTGTGTCACCCTGCATGGTGGTGGTGGTGGGAAGGGACACACGGTGTGGTTCTCTGGGGACCTGCTGTGCCGGGAAGACCCACCCTCACCCACCACTGCACAACAATATAGTCACCATGTCCTGTACGTCAGCCGTGTAGCCCTCATCTACTCCTTGTCCTTCAGCTGCGACTTGGTGATGGAGGAGGAGGGACACAGGCTCGATTCTTCTGGAACCTGAGTCAGTTTTTAACATTTATTGCTTACGTAAGTGAAAGTGACAGTGAGGGAGTGATGCGAAAGCCCAGTGGCTAAATCCTCGCCTTGCACACTCCTGGATCCCATATGGGTGCTGGTTGTATCTCAGTTGTTCTGCTTCCCATCCAGCTCCGTGCCTGTGGCCTGGGAAAGTAGAGGAAGACTCAAAGCCTTGGGACGCTGCACCCATGTAGGAGAGACCAGGAGGAGGCTCCTGGCTCCTGGCTTCAGATCAGCTCAGCTCCAGCTGTTGTGGCCATTTGGGGCTTGACCTAGTGAACAGAAGATCTTTCTCTCTGTCTCTCCTCTCTATGAATCTCCTCTTTCAATAAAAATAAATAAATCTTTAAAAAGGAAAAAAAAATTTAAGGCTTGGTAGCCTGGTGGCTAAAGTCCTCGTCTTGAATGCACCAGGATCCAATATGGGTGCTGGTTCTAATCCAGGCGTCCCTGTTCCCATCTAGCTCCCTGCCTGTGGCCTGGGAAAGCAGTCAAGGACAGCCCAGGGCCTTGGGATCCTGCACCTGTGTGGGAGACCCGGAATAAGATCTGGGCTCCTGGCTTTGGATTGGCTCAGCTCTGGCCTTTGCATCCACTTGGAGAGTGAATCGTTGGATGGAAGATCTTCCTCTCTGTCTTTCCTCTTCTTTGTATATCTGACTTTGCAAGAAAAATAAATAAATCTTTAAAAAAATTAAATCTTTCATTTGTTTGTTCCTTCCCCAGATGATTGCAACAGCCAGGTCTGGGCCAGGCTGCAGCCAGGAGCCTGGAACTCCATCTAGTTCTCCTGTAGCAAGAGCCTAGTTCTTGAGCATGTGTGTTGACAGAAAGCTGCCCCAGAAGCAGAACAGCTGGGACTCGAACCATCACTCCACTGTGCGATGTCAGTATTACACGTGGCAGCTTAACCTGCCCCTGAGACCTCAGAGCCTTCACACATCACACATTGCCACCAAAGGGGGAGCAAAGGAGCCTCTATGAGGCTTCGTAAAGGGTTTTTTTTTTTTTTTTTTTTTTTAAGTGAGGACTTTGGCCGCTAGGCCACCGCACCAGGTCCAAGGGTTTTCTTTTTAAAAAATATAAAGCATGATTTTATTTATTATTATTTGGAAAACAGAGAGAGGGAGAATGAGTTTATCCTTTGTTTCACTCCCTAAATGCACCAGCAGCCAGAGCTGGGTCAGGGTGAAGCCAAGAGCAGGGCTGGGGCTTGAACTTAGGCACTTTGATAAGGAGTGGGGCTCTCCCAGGCTGTGTCTTACCCAGCACACCAATGGCAAGCCTAGAACTCGAGGGGGACCGTTTCTTAGTCTTCTTGTCGGGGAAGGTGCTCCCTTCGCTGCCTTGGGCTCATTCCTGTTGTTTATAGTTCCCAGTCCTGGGCAGCCTGAGCAAGGACCCAGGGGAAGGAGGGAATCCAGGGAAAGGAGTTGGGGTCACCCTGGAAGCTACAGACTGCCTCCGGAGAGCTCATTTTCCATGGACTCACTCAGCCTCACTTCACGAAGGGAACTCGTGTGTTTTCCCAGTCCGTCCTCAGGGGCAGCCCGCCCTTGGCTGCTTGGCCTGGCCCCACCCAGCCCCAGCGCCCTCACACAGCAGCCAGGCTGGGTGGACCAGCCAGCCCCAGCCAGCCCCAGCCGGGTTGGTTGTCTCTCCTCGTGGGTGAGGGCACTCAGCACCCACACCTGTGGCCCCGGTGCCCCTTTGCCCACCTGCTCGTGGACCCTGGCATGTTTCCTGATTCCCACCCCATGACTGTGAGTTCCTCCTAAGGGGCAGAGGCAGAGTACCAAGGAGAACTTGCGTTATTGCCTCAGCATCTGTAGAGGGCTAAAATGGGTGGAGTGACCCGGTCAGGGGCATGATTCTTTCAGAATGAGCCTGGGACACGGGTGTGCTGTGATTCAACCTGCTTCTCGGTCACACACACACAGGGCTGGGGCTGGAACCTGTGTCACCTGGCCCTGGAGTCCAGTGCCCTTCTGGGGTGTTTGTGTGAGAGGAAGAGGGGGTGTGTCTCCTGCCTAAGCCCTTTGCTGCAGCCTTTGCCCTCAGACCCTAAGAGCCAAATCATCTGCACCTGTTCCCCTTTCTTTCCCATCATTATCTTCTCTACCCATGGAGATACTCCTGTCTCGTTCTCATCTCCATGACGTTAGCTTTGTATATTCTGAGATCCTCTCGTCACCATGAGCTCCCGCACCGGCCCCTGTTATGACTGTCAGTATCACCGTCACCTACAGAAGGCTTCACACGCAGTAGACTCCCTAAACACTGTGTGCCTCGCTCACCCACCCGGCCCTGTGAGGGCTCCAGCAAAATGAGCTGTCCCTCTTCTTTATGTTGGGACCTGGTCAGTCAGTCCAACGCTATGCTTTGTTCAGTCTGATATAGCCATTTAGTCTATTTTATTTTTAATAGATTTGTTTATTTATTTGAAAGGCAGAATTACAGAGCGAGTAAGAGAATTTCCATCTGCTGATTCATCCCCTATTTGCTCCAACAGCCGGAATTGGACCACAGCAAAACCAGGAAACTTGAAATCTATCTGGAGCTGCCATGTGGGTACAGGGGTTCAACCACTTGGTCCATCTTTTGAGGCTTTACTGGGTGTATTAGCAGGGAGCTGGTGCTGTAGTGAAGCACCCGACTTGAACCAGAGTGCTAAGGGGGGTTGCCAGTGTCATAGCCCACTGCATTAGAATGCTGGCCCCTATTTATTTATTTGCTTGTTTATCTAAAATGCATTTATTTGGACCCGGTGCGACAGCCTAGTGGTTAAATCCTCACCTTGCATGTGCTGGGATCCTATTTGAGTGCTGATTCATATCCTGGCTGTTCCACTTCCCTTCCAGCTCCCTGCTTATGGCCTGGAAAAGCAGTCAAGGACAGCCCAAAGTCTTGGGACCCTGCACCCATGTGGGAGAGCTGGAAGAGGCTCCTGGTTGTGGCTTCGGATTGGGTTAGCTCTGGCCATTGTGGCCACTTGGGGAGTGAATCAGCAGATGAAAGATCTTTCTCTCCATCTTTTTGTAAAATCTGACTTTCCAATAAACGAAATCTTGAAAAAACATTATTTAGTTTTGTTTGAAAGACAGAGTTATAGAGAGAGAAGAAAAGAGATTTCATATCTGCTGGTTCACTCCCCAAATGGCTACAACAGCCACAGCTGGACCAGTCCTGTATGGTAACTGATGAGCTTCTTCTGGGTGTCCCACGTGGGCATGGGGACCCAAGCACTTGGGCCATCTTCTGCTGCTTTCCCAGGCACATTAGTATGGAGCTGGATTGGAAGTGGAGCGGCTGGGACTCAGAGCAGCACTCTAATACTTTTTGTACAACTGTCCACTGGTCTAAGCAGAATTAAAGGATGGAGCATGACCCCCAGGAACAGCGTCTCTCCAGCCCAGGCTGTCCCCTTCCTACTCTGGAAGCCTCTGGGGAGGGCCTGACCCAAGCGCTAACTGGTTCCCCAGGGAGCTCACCTGGCCGCAGTCTGCCTGTACAGCCCCACCTCCAGCAACGCCCGGGCCTTCCATGCTGGCTGCTCCTCCTGCACCTGAGCAGTTAGTAGCTCATACCCCAGGAGATAAGTGGATAAGGAAATCAGGAGTCCTGAATTCGCCACTGCTCTGTCTCCCTCTGTACCTCTCGCCTCTGAGCCTGATTGCCCCTCTACAAAGTCAGAGGGTAGCACCAGGTTGTCTCCCAGGGTCAAGGCTCTAGGCCAATGTACCAGAGCATTTGGGGGTATCATCGGGCAGACCCCGGTATTTCCAAAGCATCTTCACAAGGTGGGAGGGGGCGGTGCTGAGCAGACAGGACCATACCCCTTTCCACAGGTGAGAAGGGTTGCTGTATGTCCCATCATCAGTGGCACAGGCAGGCTTACCCAGAGACTGGGTGAGAACAGAACGCCAGGAAACAGTCAAGCCAGCAAGCTAAGGCTAGGGCAGAGGCAGAGGTTTGGGCTGGCTGGGTAATTCCTAAGAAAGTGGGGGCAGGAGGGGCAAGGACGAAGGGGCTGAGATCATTTGACAGTTTATTCTGTGTCAGGACGCAGGTGCAAAGCAACTCCATTTCTAGCAATCCTTGTAGCAATTCCAAGAGACAGCTTATCTCCATTTTGCAGACTGGAAAATAGTCTCAGGGAGGCTTCGTGATGGGTCCAAGACCACCCAGCTGAACTGGACCCCAGGGCACTGGGATTCCAGGTCTTTGGGTCTTTCCATTGCTGCCCCACTGGGACAGGCTGGTGATGGGGTGGGGGAAGGGTTCGCTGCACCTGGAGTTTGGCTGAGCAGGTGTTCAGAGTGGTGGGTTATGGGGTAAGGGGGGCCACGAGGCAGCCAAATTGGAGACGCCACTGCCTCCGGCTGGGCTGCGAAGAGTTAAAGAACCTTCGACCCCTCCTCCCGCCTCCTCTCCAAGCTCTTCCTGTCCCGCGCGTTGCAACACCCTGCCGGCTGCCGCTCAGCCTTCTCCTCCCACCTCTTCTCTCTCTCCGGCTGAAAGTTCTCCGAGTTCTCTGGATGGGGCTCCAGTCCTGGCGTTGGGTTCGAGAACCCTGAGACCGGGCCGTGGCCTCCACTCGAGTCTACACTCCCCGACCCAAGTCCGCCCCGCGCCTGGCTGCACTTGGGCCCTTGCCGGACTCAGCCGTTCATCCCTGGCCTCCACCGCCGCCGCCTCCGTCGCCCGAGTCCCAATGGGGGAGTGAGAGGCCCCCGCCGGCCGGACATGGCCCTCCCCGCCGTGCCTGGCCTGCTGCTGCCGCTGGTGAGACCGGGGAGCGAGGCGGGAGCGGGGCAGGCCACCGGCCGCCACGACGGGGCTGACGCTTCCCTTGTGTGGGCCTGGCTCCCTGCCCGTCGCAGGCCCGCGCGGGGCCCCAGGCTCCCCGGCGCCGCCCGTACAGGGTGTCGCTGCTCTTGGAGAAGGGGTCATCCTGGGGCAGGGGACAGGAACGTGTGTGAAAGGGGGAAAGAGTGAAGGAAGGGAAAGGTGCGGGCCGAGGGGGAGTCTGGGAATGGCGAGGGGACAGTGGTGATGGGCAGGCTGCCGCGCTGGGGTGTGTGTGTGTGTGGGGTGGAGGGGGTCAGACTTGTCAGAGTCTAGCAGGTCTGGGGTTCTGGGCTGGGAGTGGGGATTGGGGTGTTGAAGCTGCCAGAAGAAACCCCATTAGAAGGCAAAGAGTGAAAGGCAAGCGAGGTGGGTAAACTGAGTCGGGAGGGTGGCGTGAGTGGAGTGGGTTTGGGAGTGGAGAGCGAGACCTCAGGCTTATGCCAAGTGCACACCTTCCTCTGCCTGGGAGTTGGGGGACCTCCTCTTCCCCTCTGCCCTGGCTGGGTGGGAGGTCCCCAGGGGTGGGACCCCAGTGAGGTGGCTGCCACCACCCGACCCACGCAGGGACCTGCGGCCGGCAGACCTGAGTGTCAATGTTTAGTTTCTTCTTCCACCTTCCATTTTGGGGAAGTTGGTAGAAAGTTGTTTTCGTCACTGGAGAATGCCTTTCTCCGACTCCAGGCTCTGTTCGCTGTATCCTCATTTCTCCTCCGGGCTCCTGCAAGTTTCTTTTTTCCATACTTAAAGCCGCGGTCCCCATCATGAAGGGTGGGCTTTCCCCGACTGTGTGGACCAGTGCCTGGCACGTCCTCGCCCCTCTCGTCGCTGCGCCCGCCTCCGCCTCTCCCTGTCTCCCACCATTCCCTACTCTCTTCTCCGTCGTTCAGGGCTGCTTCCTTTTCTAAGTTTATTTATTCATTTGAGAGACAGAGAGCAGGAGAAGGAGACCTTCCGTCTACTGATTCATTTCCCAAATGTCCACAAGAGCCAGAGCTGGGTCAGGCTGAAGCCAGAAGCCAAGAGTTGCATCCAAGTCTATGACGTGGGTGGCAGGGACCAAAGTACTTCAGCCATCATTTGTTGCTTCCCAGGGTTTGCAGCAGCACGACGGTTCATCTGAAATGAAGCCGGGACTTGAACTCACTGTGATATAGAATGCCAGTGTCCCAAGCAGCCTCTTCTTTTCCTGTCTGTCTTGAGATTTACTTCTTTTAGGGGCCGGCACCACGGTGTAGTAGGCCAAGCCTCTGTTTGCAGCACTGATGTCCCCTAAAGGTGTCTTAACCGGTGACATCCTGTGAGTGGTGCTGCTCTACCTCTGTCCCAACCCCCGGTTAATGCACTTTGGAAAGCAGCAGAGGATGGCTGGCGTGCTCGGGCCCCTGCATCCACGTGGGAGACCTGGAAGAAGCTCCCAGCTGTGGCTATTGCAGACACTTCTGGAGTGAACCAACTCTTTCTCTCTGTAACTCTGCCTTCCAAATAATTAAATCTTAAAAAAAATTGGGGGGAGAGGGCAGAATTATAGAGAACAGAGAATTATAGAAACAGAGAAATAAGAACAAGAGACAAAAAGAGATTTCCCATTCTTCGGATCACACGCCCCAGGTGGCCACAATGGTTAGGGCTGAGCCAAGCTGAAGTCAGGAGCCAGAGAACCTATCCGGGTCTTCCACATGGGTGACACTTGGGCCATCTTCCTCTGCCTTCCCAGGCATACTATCAGACGGATCGAAAGCAGAACAGCTGGAGCTCGAACTCATGCTTTGATAAGAGGGGGGTTGCCTAATGCCCTGGGCCACAGTGCCAGCCCCCATCAGCTTCTTAACCCCAGGGCCGCCCTTTGTGCCATTCCTTCCATTGGTTGTTCTTCTCTTCTTCCACTCCCCTTCCCTTCTCCAGATTTGCCTTCCCCAGTTCTTCCCTCCCCTACCCAGCGCTGGTGATTGTTGGGGATCTGATCTGGGTTGGGCAGCCTCTTCTTTTGTTGGCACTCCATCACCTGGATCCAAATCCGACTCCCTCCCATCAGACAGCTGTGTGAACTTGAGCAGGTTAAATCAACCCTGCCTTCTTATGTTGTTCTGGAGGTGAGGGTAGGTCGATATGTGAAGGACACGAGTTTTCAAAAACTTCATAGAAAATACACATGGTGAAAAAAAACTAGGCCCAAGTCTGGATCTCAATTTAAAAATTTTTTTGTATGATTTATTTATTTTTATTGGAAAGAGATTTACAGAGAGATGAAGAGAAAGAAAGATATTTCATCTGCTGGTTCACTCTCAAATGGCCACAACTGCACGAGCCAGGAGTTACTTCTGGGTTTCCCACATGGGTGCAGGGTCCCAAGGCTTTTGGCTGTCCTCCATAAGTAGGGAGCTGGATGGGAAGTGGAGCAACTGCGATATAAACCAGCACCGATATGGGCTCCTGGCATTTGGAGAGGGAGGATTAGCCAATTGAGCCATTGCACTGGGCCCAATCTCAAACATTTTTGCATTTAAAAATAATCTTACCGGCCCAGTGCGATAGCCTAGTGGCTAAAGTCCTCACCTTGCAAGCACCAGGATCCCATATGGGTGTCAGTTCTAATCCAGGCAAGCCCCACTTCCCATCTAGCTCCCTGCTTGTGGCCTGGGAAAGCAGTTCAGGACAGCCCAAAGCTTTGAGACTCTATATCCGCATGGGAGACCTGGAAGAGGTTCCTGGCTCCTGGCTTCAGATTGGCACAGCTTCAGCCCATTGCAGTTACTTGGGGAGTGAATCATCAGATGGAAGATCTTTTTCTCTGTCTCTTCTCTGTATGTCTGACTTTGTAATAATAATATAAAAAAATCTTAGCAAAAAAATTAGTAAAAAAAATAATCTTAGCTTTGGACTCCATATACCATGAAATTTCTGAGGTCCCCTCGTATTTTCTGGAGTATCAAGCACCTGTGGTCTGTGAGGCATGGCATAAGGACTGCAGCAAACAACCCCCCTTATGAAGTTCTCGACCCAATAGAATAGGACCCAGTAGACAAAGAATACTCAAGGAAGTGTTCAGCCTGTATGTGTGGTCGTTGGTAATAATGATGGCTCAGTGGCCACCTGTGCTTAGAAAACAAGAGAATAAAGGAAACTACAGCAAGAGGAGCATGCTGGGTAGCGAGCTGCTACTGTAGCTCAGGATGGCAATGACTGTCGCAGGATGTAGCCCAGGTGGGTGCTGGCTGGCAAGCAGGAGGGATGGGGAGGGCTGTTCCTGAACTTTCCGGGTTCTCCCCATACTGTGGGCAGCGAGTGTGTTCTATGCGGCTGTAGGCAGTGGCCTTGCGAGTGGGACTGGGAGGGAAGGATCGTAAGGAGAGTGTGGCCAAGCAAGCAGGACTTCACTGTTCCCCAAGAGCTTCCCAGTCTAGGAGCCGAGAGAGTTCACAGCAAAAACTTCAGAACACTCTGAAGGGAAATGCCCACCGATGCACTGTGATGTCCTGGAACACAAACGGCAGGTGGAGGGCTTTGGTGGGGTGGAGAACGCCTGAGTTTCCTGACCTCTTATGGGCAGAAGGGGGGACAGATTGCACCTTGAGGAAATGCAGGAGCTTCCCCCTCCCTGTACCCCCTGCCTGGCTCGCTCAGGGGCTCTGCCCCCAGATCCACCCCAGGGCCTATCAGGGGGTGTCTTGGCTCTTCCCAACAGAAGCACCTCTAGGGAACCTGTGCTCCTTACCAATTTGTTGAATACAGTCAGGACTAGAAGCCTGGTGGGAAGTTTGTGGCAGGAGTGGGGCAGGGTGGGAATGAAGATAGACCAAGGGTAGGGAGTTCATTCACTCATTCAGAGCCCGCACTTGCAGTGTCTGCTGCTCTGAGCCTGGGCTGTTCAGAAGAAAAGTGAGATATGTGGCAGGGAGCAGCCTCCGCCATCAGAAGTGATGTTTGAAGTCAGGTTTTGGAGATGAAGAGGCAAATGCATGTGCCAGCTAGCCAGCCAGGACAAGCTGAAGCTTGTGTGCTAATCAGAAAGTGTAGGTTGAATTGGAGCAGGGAACAGGCTGGGAGACAGTTGCAGTCATCCATGGCAGGTGGTATTGGTGGCCGAGGGGAGAGAGACCCCAGAGGAAGGTGTTCAGACGGGCAGGTATGGCAGCCTGAGTAGGAATGGGAGTGTTCTGAGGCAGGAATGACGTCAGCAGCCTCGGCGTTGGTGGTGTGACATTTATGAGACTGGGTCATAGGTGAGATGGACACATGCGGTTTGGGCTGTGTCCAATGCATGGTCAGGGGGATGGCCAAGTGGATGTGCAGACGGGGCAGGCCCAGGCAAGGCTTGTCAGCCCTATGGTTTGCATTCGTCGCTTCCACGCGTCCTTGGGTCTCCACAAGGAAGGAGCAGTCACAGGGGTATGTGTTGGTTGGGGGACTCCACTGGGCCCACCACGAGTGCACAGCAGGTGAGTCCCTGGGCCATCAGCGCACCTGTGCCCGCTGCCCAGCAGGATGACACCGACTGACCAAGACCTGGGCTGTCTGTCTTTTCATTGTCTTTATGGTCTGCCTGGAGAGATGGTATCTCCTGACCAACACAACCAGATTATGATAAGAGCCAAAAGGAGATACCATCAGTTTGTGGTATGGTGGTATCGAGTTCACAGCGGGCTGAGTGGCTGTAGGCTTTAGGTTTGGGTTGGGGAAGTGTGTGTCAGTCTCCCCCAACCAGCCCCCTCCCGCCCCCCTATCCAGGGCTTTGTGATGAGGAGGTGGGATCTCTAGGGGGAGGCCCCTGGGACCAGTGAGAAGCTGGCAGGGGTCTTGACCTTAAAGAAACTCACACATTGTCACTGAAAGAGTGCAGGAGTGCGGAGACAGTACAGCTGATGGGTGCCTGAGAGGTAGGTGGGTCAGGTTAGACCACAAGGTCCAGTGGGTGGTGCAGCTTCTCCCCCACAGCGCTGTAGCCACAGTACAGGAAGTCACACTTGAGAACCTCTCTAGGCGGAAGCTGTGGAGGAGTTGGAGGGGTGCTGGGCCGCCCCCCTACTGTCTCTGCACCAGCACCCCCGGCTTCCTGGGTACAGCACTCAGCTGGAGCTTACCTTCCGGCTCTGCTCTCTTGCCATAGAATGCAAACGTCAAGGAACTGGGTTCTGTGGGTCAGGCAGTGCCTCTGAGTGATGGTGCCCATTGGAGGGGAGCCTGGAGACCCCAGCTTCTAGGGACCAGAGAGCGAGTTGACCCAGAGAGACCTGGGCCCTGACGCTGCTTCCCTTTTATATCCTTACCCGCCCCCCCCAATTCCTGGAAGTGGATATTCAGAGTTTTCCTTCAAGGCCAGGGTGCTTGAGGGGGTGGGGGGAAAGTGGGGAGCTGTGGAGATTTTGGATTGGCTGGGATTGCAGAGAGGGCCCCAAATGCCAGAACCAGCCAGGCTGTGGGAATGCGGTGAACCCAGGCCAGGAGGGCAGCTTGGGTCTGCGCTTTGCTGGAACTGGGGCACGCCAGGGGGCTGTTAAAGAGAGCCCAGGGGATGACTTTATCTGCTGGAGACTGGATCTACGGGGAGGAGGAACGGGGGCGGGGCAGGGAAGGAACCCCTTGGCCTTCAGGGAGGTGGAGTGGGAGGAAGCCAGGGGTCGAGGGAGACTTCCTTTGAGATGGAACGGGAGAGGGAGGCATTTCCTGAAATGTGCAGGCCAAGTGGGCCAGGGGTCCCATGGTTCAGTGGTGCTCAGGCTTACAGGCTGCAAGAGCGCTGAGTGGGAACCGAGCTAGAGGGACTGGCTGGGAGGAGGAAGGTTAGGATGGGTCTGCTGGCTGGGCTCTTCCTGCTGACTCATGACCCCTGAGGAGCTAGGGAACCTGCTAGTTCCCTCTCCTCCGCTCTCCATCCCCTCCCTCCCTCTGGCCTGAGTCACGGGGCGGAGCTGCTGGGAAAAGATTTCGCTTTCCCGGATTTGACTTAACCCCAGGAGGCCTGGATGTGGAGAGGACACGCGTGCCCTGCGAGGCCTGAGCAAACCTCCGTCCCTCCTCTTCTTCTCGGGAGGTGTCTCCCTCACTGGCCAGACGCTCCCCCCCAGGAACTCCCTCCCCCTACCTGGGCCCTAGAGACCCTGACTTTCTCCACCCCTAGACTCTCTCTCTCTTTGCCCTGTGGCTTAGCTCCAGGGCATGAGCCTGAGAGGTGCCAATGACCTTCGTGCTCTAAGTCCTTCCTTCGGGGAAAGAAGCCACACTTTCAGGACAGCGAAGGTCTTCCCGTCACCAGCCTTTCCTGCTGGCCTCTGGGTGGCAGCGGGCGCCCCTGCTGGCTGGGTCCCTCTCTCCCTGGGGGGGGGGCTGACCTTCCAGGTCTGTGCTCCTGGGGTTGCAGCGTCGCCCAGTGGCTGACTTAGGGGCTACCTGTTCCCAAAAGTGGAGCTGAGGAGATTGGAGCTGCTGGTCCCGTGGTGGAGGTGGTGGGGTGGGAGGGACGCTGCAACACCCTCCCCTCCTGGGCTGTAATTCTATGATCTGATTGGTCTATCTAAACATTTGGAGACATCCTGCCCTGGCCTCCTGGCTTTGCTTAAAGTTACCAGAACAGGGCAAGCTGTTCAGGTGCTGTGGGCTTGGCCAGAGGCTGTTAAAAAAAAACAAAAACAAAAACACAGAAGCTTGCTTCCAAATGGCCTGGTTGCACAAGGCTTCAGGATGCTTGGCAGTTCCTCAGCTCCTGTTTTGTTGGTCATCAGAACCAAATCCTGGATTTGCGTGACTGTCTTTGCCCACTGCTGCCAACACCTCATTTGTCACCTGCTGATCCCAATCCTGACCTCTGAACTTTCCCTCTTAGTTCCCCTCCCTGTTTATTCTTGCCAAACTGGAGTGTTTGTATCAGTTTCCTGGTGGGAGAGGGCGGAAGTGTGAGGGCAGGATCCCTAAGGCGAGGTTTGCACAGTTTTAAAAACACTCCTTCTAACAAAACAGAACAAAACAGAAAAACACGCCTCTTTTGACTCTGCGGACTCTCCAAGACCAGCATGGGCCTGGATTATTCCTGGATTATTCTGCAGTAGAACTTAGTCCAGGGATGTAATCCTGACTCTGAAGCCCACTTCTACCTGGGAGAGATGCTCCTCAATCTTTTGGGGGTGCTTGTTGGAAGAAAGGGTCAGCATGGAAGTAGCCTGCTAGTTCTGGGTCCAGAAAACATTCCTTGTATATCCGCCATGTGTGTATCATTGTTAGCTACAGGGAGGGACTCTGAGTAAGGGTCAAATACAGCCTAGGGCCCCCAGGATCCTCTAGGCCTTGGAGTTGAAGGGACAGCAGTCAGTCAGCACACAGGCCACAGTTCAGCATCTAATCACGTGGTGGTGCCAGCTGCCAAGCAAGACCGTCAGTGAGCAGTGGCCTGGGCAGCGGTAGAAGCTGGGAGGGAGTTTTTAATTTGCCACTTCTGGGTCCTCCTGCACTTTCCTCTCCTAAGGGCGTCTTCTCTGTGTGATTCTTCTCCAGGTGCTCCTGGCCCTGTCCATGGAAATATATCCCTTACGGGTTATTGGACTGGTTGCCTATCCTGGGGACCTGGAGGAGAGCGACAGTCCGTGCCCCCAGGGGAAATACAGCCACCGGCGGAACAAGTCCATCTGCTGCACCAAGTGTCACAAAGGTGGGAGACAACAGATTTGCTCCGGGATGGGGGCCCCTGCTTCTTCCTTGGCTTTTTCTCCTGGCAATCCCTCTGCCCCCTCCACCTCCCGTAACGTTGCTGCCTCTCCTGGGTTGGGGTTTCCCTGCCCCTGCCACTTTCCTTTCCCAAGGACTCCAGGGCAGCAGGGCACTTTGCTGCAGCCTGACCCAAATGCTTCGTTCTCAGGAACCTACTTATACGATGACTGTCCAGAACCAGGACGGGAAACGGACTGCAGGGAGTGCGAAAAGGGCACCTATACCGCTTCGGAAAATTTCCTCAACCAGTGTCTCAGCTGCTCCAAATGCCGACCGGGTACGTGTGCCCTGGGGAGAGAGCCAGGACGTGCTGCTAGCTGGAGCCTCGTGTGAGCCTAGCCCTGCAGGAGCCTATACAGGGCAGGGCTGTGTGACAGTGGCCCTGCGTGGGTCAAGGAGACAGACAGACACACACACACGCATACACGGGAGGAGGAGCGTCCAAGAACGGGGATGCCATGGAAGGGTCGGTGGGGTGGACGCAGCTGAGGGATGCAGAACTCATGTGCCACCTCACCCTCTCAACAGAAATGAGGCAAGTGGAGATTTCTCCATGCACAGTGGACCAGGACACCGTATGTGGCTGCAGGAAGAACCAATACCGGAGCCCCGTGTCCAGAGACATGTTCAAGTGCGAAAACTGCAGCCTCTGCCCTAATGGAACCGTAACCAAGCCCTGTGAGCAGGACCTGCCCCTTCAAGGCCCTGGTGGATGGTGGTGCTCCCTTTCTGCCAGACTCTCGCAGCCGCGGTGCTGGAGGGCTGGTCTCTGGGCACCTCTCTCCTCCTCCATTGCAGGGCGTCCTTGGGTTGTCGGGTGCCCCTCCTGTAACTGTGGTATTTCTTCTCCCTGCAGGCCAGGAGCATGAGGACACCGTGTGTACCTGCCACGCAGGCTTCTACCTAAGTAAAAACATGTGCATCTCCTGTAGTCAGTAAGTATCTGTGCCAGCTGCCGGCCACCAGGGAGGCGGCGTGGGCTGGGCTCTGACGGCTGAGGCGGAGAGCCAGGACACACATGGGCTTTTCTTAAACACTCCCTTGAAAAGAGGAAAGTGTGAAGGCTTTCAGAATTGAACATTCTTGGGTTTCAATTCTGGCCTAACCATGCACCGGTTGTGCGACCGTGGGCAAGTTACTTAATGTCTCTGAGTCTTACTTAGTTCCATATATATAATTTATTATATCTAATGTATGTATTATATATAACTTAAATATTGTATCTCTATAACTTATTTTACTTATTTAAAAAGCAGAATTAGAGATTTTGAGAGAGTCTTCCACCCACTGAGTCACTCCTTAGGTGACTACCACAGCCAGGGCTGGGCTAGGCTGAAGCCAGGAGCCAGGAGCTTCTTTTCTGTTTGCCCACGTGGCACTGGTAACCTGGATGTTGGGTATCCTTTGCTACTTTCCCTGGCATATTATTGGGGAGCCAGATTGGAAGTGGAGCAGCTGAAATTTGAACCAGGACTCACACGGGATGCTGGCGACATAGGGTTAGTCCACTATACCACAGTGCCAGCCTCATTACTTACCTTTTAAAAAGCATTTTGTTTAGTCATTTGAGCAGTAGCGAGAGAGAAAGAGCTTGATCCTATCCTATGCCTGCAGCACTGGTGGGGCTGAGTTGGAGGCCAGGAGCCAGAAACTATCCAATCTCTCCTGTGGGGCGCAGGGACCCGCGTACTTCAGTCATCACCACGTCTCGCAGGGTGCACGTTAGCAGGAAGCAGGGAGTGAGGACGGAGCCAGGCCTGAAATCCAGACATTTCAATGTGCCATGAAGGCTTCTTAACTGGTGTCTTCATCGCTCCTTATCTTTAATGTTAGGATAGTGACACCCATGTGAGAAGCATGACCAGGGTTAGTAGGTGAGGTCACCACTGCCTGTAACACAGGCTCAAGTGTCCCCTGCTCCACTTTCCACTCATTCCCCTGCTAATGAGCCTGGGAAGGCAGCGGAAGAGGAACCAAACGCCTGGGCCCCTGCACCCACATGGGAGACCCACATGGGAGTCTGGCTCCTTCTGACTTCAGGCTGGCCCAGCTCCAAGTGTCACAGCCAGTGAACCAACAGATGAAAGATTCTATCCCTCTGCTGCTTTACCTTTTAAGTAAAATAAAATACACCTTAAAAGAAAGGAAAGGTTGTGGAAATTACCACACTACAAAATAACTGTGTCACCAACTCACAAGTCAGTTCTGTAACTAGTGCTGCAAAGTCCTTTCCCGTCCCTTTGCCACATGCTCATCAGCCCAACGGGGAAGCAGTCCCCTGGTAGCTGCCTTCTCAGGAGGACTAGTATGCCAGGCAAAACCATGTCATCTCTGGCACCGATGGGGAAGCTAAGGCTTACAGGGAAAGTGGCAAGTGGCTGGCTTAGCATCAATCCTGCTGGCAAGTGAATGGTTGGGATTCATGCTCTGACTTCATTTTCCTAGTGCACTTTTGTTTTTAAGATTTATTTATTTTTATGTGGAAGGCAGAATGACAGAGACTGGGAAAGATCTTTCCTCCACTGGTTTAACTCCCCAAATGGCCACAGTAGCTGGGACTTGGCCGGGCCTGTGCCAGGAGCTCCATCTGGGTCTCCCCAATTGGGCATTAGGGACCCAGGCATGTGAGTTAGAGCCCATTGCCTTCTGCTGCATTTAGCAGGAAGCTGGTTAGGGAGTGGAGGCAGGGGCTCAGCCGCCCCGCACACTGCTCAGAGATGTAGTGTCCGAGTGGCATTTTAACTTGCTGTGCCTCAGGACCCGTCCCTCTGAAGATGCCTTTCAATCAAAACATGAATCCTTCTCTGGGATTATGTTTCTTTTGCATCGGTTTCCAAGATAGGTCTTTTGAGAAACAAAAGGCGTTTGTGAGACAGGTTGTTTTGTGTGTGTGCATGGTATGTCTGTGTTCTGTATGAACCTGTGTTTTGTGTGTCTGCCTGTTTCATGTCTCGTATGTGCCAGTGTGTCTGTCTGTTTTTTGTGTGTTGTATGTGTGTGTCTGTATCTGTGTTGTGCATCTGTAAGCTCTGTGTGTGTATCTGTGTGTGTGTGTATGTGTATGTGTGTTTTGTGTCTGTTGTGGATGGGTCTGTTTTGTGTGTCTCTGTGTCTTGTGTGTTGTATACACTTCTGTGTGTCTCCGTGTGTCCCTCCCGTGCAGAGCTTCAGCTCATCACAGCCACCTCTGGTTTCAGATGTAAAGATCCTGAGTGCCAGAAGCTGTGCCAGCCACCCACTGAAACGGTCCAGCACCCTCAGGACCCAGGTGAGGAGTGCCTCCCTTGCTTAGCTGCCTCTCCCAGCTCCAGCACCTGCACCCATCCCTCCAGTCCTTTGACCATGAACCCCCCCCCCAACCGTCTCCAGGCACCAAAGTGCTGCTACCCCTGGTGATCATCTTTGGTCTTTGTATGCTGTCCCTCCTCTTCATCCTTTTAATGTGCCACTACCAGCGGCGGTGGAAGCCCAAATTCTACTCCATCGGTGAGTGAGTGGGGCGGTGGGGCGGTGGGAGGGGTAAGGGCGCTGTGAGCCTGGGAAGCCTGTGGGTGGCTCAGTGTGGAGTGCCTGGGAAGGAGTGTCCCCCCCACGCTCTGTGGGTCCTGTGTGTGTGTCGGGGGGAAGACCCTGAGTGGCTTGGGGGTGGGCTGGGGGAAGGAATGTCACACTCCAGCAGGCATTTTCTTTTCCCTGGGGTCACATAAGCCATGAGGCATGTCACCGCAAGTCTCCAGTACCCCGCTACCAGGGCTGAAAACTGGGGAAGTGAAATTGATGCTTTTTTTTTTTTCTTCTCAGTTTGTGGGAAAGCTACACCTGTCAAAGAGGTGAGTTGACAGTGGAGACCACACTTCTCTGACTGTTCCTTATTACTAGAACACCCAGACCCGGGACTCCCACCCGGGACTCCCCTCATTGCCTCCGGCCCGACCCCCAACCCCAGTGAACAGCGCTGAGACTGACTCTCCCGCCCTCCACCCCAACACTCTCTTTTAGGGGGAGCCGGACAGAGAGAGAATCACTGCGAAACCCTTCCCTTCTGCCCCAGGCACGTGTCCCATCTCAGGCGCCTATCTTACTTCAGGCTTCAGCCCCCTTCCCCGCCTCCCTGAGAACTGGCCCAACCTCAGCGCTGTGTCAGCCTCCGGGGAGGTGGCCTTCACTTGCCGGGAGGCTGACCACGACTTCAGCACCGTCCTGACCTCCGCCCCCATCACCCCGCCGTACAAAGCGGAGGATAGCGCCCCGCCGCAGCCGCAGCCGCAGCCGCAGCCGCAGCCGCAGCGTGCAGACAGTGAGTGAGGGGTGCGGCTGGGGTGGAGAGGAGGGCTCCGGGAAGAAGCAGGGTCGAGGGGAGGGCCGCCGCCCGAGGCTCACCGTCCCGCGTCCCCGCAGCCGACCCCGTCACGCTGTACGCCGTGGTGGATGGCGTGCCCCCGGGACGCTGGAAGGAGTTCGTACGGCGCCTGGGGCTCAGCGAGCATGAGATCGAACGGCTGGAGCTGCAGAACGGGCGCTGCCTGCGGGAAGCTCACTACAGCATGCTGGCGGCCTGGCGGCAGCGCAAACCGCGCCACGAAGCCACTCTGGACCTGCTGGAACGTGTGCTCCGCGAAATGGACCTGGTCGGCTGCGTGGAGGACATTCAGGAGGCGCTGAAGGCCCCCGCCTACCAGCCCGCGGGGTCCCACCTTCTCCGGTGAGGCCTAGCCTCACTTCTGCAGGACTTCGAAGGGGCGCTGTGGCCCCGCCTCCCCGCGAGGCCACGCCCCGCTACAGGACATCAGACACTGCGGCCCCGCCCCCATGAGGCCACGCCCGCTCCTCTGCAGGACGTCAGGGGCGCTGAGGCCACGCCCCCACGAGGCCACGCCCCGCTCATCTAAGGACCTCAGAGGGGCACTGTGGCCCCGCCCCGTGAGGCCACGCCCCGCTCATCTAAGGACATCGGGCATGGCCCCGCTTCCTTCCCCGGTCGCCCGCTTCAGGTGAGGCGGGACTCGGTGTTTCTCCTCCCCTGATGGAGCCTAGACCCCCGCCTTGGAGGAGGGGCCATTTCTGCGTTGGAGCTGAGCGCTGGGCATTTTTGTTTTGTGAGCAGGCAGCCACTTGCCTGGTGCTACCCCTTCCTGAAGCCCACTTGCGAAGGTCCACTCAAGTGCCCAAGGGGCTGGTTGCGGGGTAAAGGGGCACTCTAATCAAGAGATGAGATGGCGGTTCCCAGCGAAGCTGCGTGGACCCCTGATAGGCCCCTCGGCCTTTCGCGGCAGATCAGCATGATTGCTATCAGTTTCATTACACTAATGGAATCCTGGCATTCCTGGGTCCCCTGCCTAGGACAGGGGAAAGGGCAGCACCGCGAGCCCCGATGGAGTTCTGTGTACGTGTCACTAAAACTCAGACATTAAAGCTCTGCTCCTCAAGGAACGAACCGTCCGGCTCTGTGGGCTTCTGCATCCCGAGGGCCGGGCAGAGAGCGCACCCAGCCACCCACTCCAAGTCATCTCCCCAGATGGCCGTTCCTATGTACAACTTTATGTAGAGGTTCAGGGGTGGCTATACATAAATTCACAGTTCCTGACAGAATCCCCCGAGTTTAGGTTGCAAGTGTGGTCCTTGAGGTAGTGTGGGGGTGGGGGTGACCAGCACTCTGGGAGAAACGCCGCCCACTGCAGGGCCTCAGCCTGGCTTACACCTCTCTGAAAAGAAAGCAGGGAGAGGGGGGACATTCAGGAGTGAGGGGAAAGGAGGCCCAGGCCCTTCCCCCCACGCCCCCGCCAGCCCTCCGCACTCACGAGGTGGACAGGGGCGTGTCCAGCTGAATGACCTGCGGGGTCCGCATCCTGTGCAGCTGGCTGCGTGTCAGCTTCCGAGGCTGGCTGTCCCCCGGCTCCGTGGCCCCCTCGATCCTTTGTGAGGCCAGTTCCTCCCGGATCTTCCGGAGCTTGTCCTCGGCATGGGGGTGTCGGTTGCGCTGAGGGCGGACGGGCTTGGGGAATGCAGGCCTCTCCTCCTCCTCCTCCTCTTCCTCCTCTCCCTCTTCAGCAGAGGACTCCTCCCAAGGGCTTTCCCCGGCAGAGTCGGTGTGGGCAGGGGAAGGACAGAGCTGGTCCCGAAGCCGGGCCCTGTGCAGGGTTTCCGCCACCACGTTCTCGCCCATGGAGGCTCCATCGTTATCCTCAGACCAGGGGGAAAGTGATTCTGCCCCGGGTAGGAGGTGGCCTCCTGTGGGGATCTCCTCGGGGAGTTCTGGGGCGCTAAGGCGTTGAGCTGCTTTGGGGTTAGAAGGGTGGGGCCGCAAGGGCACGTCCCGGAGTTCGAAGGTGGAGGAGGTGAGGCGGGGGTCCCGCCGGACACGGAAGGCCTTGGAGCGCAGGCGGTTGAGTGGAGAGTGGAACTCCTTGGGGGAGCTGGGACTCCAAGTGCCATAGCCTGGGTCTGAGGCATCATCAGGAACGCAGGGAGTGTCCTCGTCAGAGTCTACTGTCACCACCAGGTGGGGGGTGACGGCTGAGAACTGGAGGATCCTGCAAGTAACAGCCGGTGGTCAGCGTTCAAGGCCAAGCTCAGGAAGTCTGCCTGTACTATGACATCGAGCTTACTTCCTCTCCTTCTGCTCCCTGCCTGGACTATGAGCTGCAACGGGGCTTGGGGCTACCTGGCCTGGGACCTCCTATTAGGCAGGTGGGGAGCTTTTTACCGAGAGCAGCTCCAATCCTCACCCGGGGTGAGGGACTCCTCTTCTAGCTGGGTTATTCCGCAGGGGCCCCTGACCCAGGGGATTCGGACTTGCCGGGTACCCATCTTCGCCCTGGGCCCTGCAGCTGCTGTCCACGGGCTTGTGGGTGGTGGTTCCACTCTCTCCACCCCATGTCAGTGGACACTGCCACAGGTACCCTTTCTCAGCCTCCAGTTTCTATGCTCCTGGACCTGGCTCTCCCCCGCAGCTGCCTTTGGGGTCCCCCCTCTCGCCCTCCCTGGACCTGGCTCTCCCCCGCAGCTGCCTTTGGGGTCCCCCTCTCACCCTCCCTGGACCCTGCTCTCCCCTGCAGCTGCCTTTGGGGTCCCCCCCTCGCCTCCCTGGACCTGGCTCTCCCAGGCAGCTGCCTTTGGGGTCCCCCCTCTCACCCTGCCTGCCTTGGGTCTTACCTCCCCTCAGTGCTGCTCTGAGAGCCCTCCAGGGAAGGCGTGGAGGGCCTGGTGCTCAGGGATTCCCGGTCCTGGTCTCCATCTCGGTAGAGGGCCAGCAGCTCTCTCTTCTGCTGCACATACTCTTCTGCTTTCAGTTTCTGCAGGGTGGCCTGGGGCGGGGGGCAGGGCGTGAAGCGAGAACACTTCCATGATTTATTCATCACTTAGCAAGTACCAGGCATCCCAGATGTGACCTTGCTTGCTTTTCCCAGCAATCTGTGAGGCAGATTTATCTGTCCATCTAGTTTATTTATTTAGAGATTTACTTATTTTTACTTGAAAGTCAGAATTGCAGAGGGAGGGAGGGAGAGAGAGAGAGAGAAAGATCTACCATGTATTGGTTCATTCCTCAAATAGCTGCAATGGCTAGAGCTGAGCCAATCCAAGGCTGGGAGCCAGGATTTCTTTGCATCTCCCACATGAATGCAAGGGTCCAGTACTTGGGCCATCCTCCACTGCTTTTTTCAGGCCATAAGTAGGGAGCTAGATTGAAAGTAGAGCAGCTGGGACTTGAACTGGTGCCCTTATGGGTTGCCAGCATCACAGGCAGAGAATTTGCATGCTGCATCAGTGCATCAGCTCTGAGGCAGGTATTTTTACCTCTAGAGTGCTACTGAGACATGGGTTAAGTAACTGCCCAAGCAGTACTTCTTACAGTGGGATGTGCTAGAGTTTGGTGGCACCGAACTCTCTGTGGTATTGCAGGGGGGAGGAGAGGGGTCTGTGCTCCTGTTCCTACCTGTGCCGTTCTAACTGCTTCTCAAGCTTCCTTGGCAACCCCTCTATCATGTCTGCCCCCTCCTCCAGGAAGCTGTCCCTGATTGGTAGTGATGGTGGCTTTAGTGCTGTGAATGGTACTGGGTCCTGATGTTGCTCCTCCATGGGCCTCTCTCTCTTACGCTGAAAGGTGCAGGTTTGTCCTAGGCTGCAAATACTGCTGTCTGTCTGAGGGATGAAAGGGTAACCATTCTTTGAGGGGGCCACACACTGTCTTCTTCCCTCAATATAAAAAAAAATCATATTTATTTATTTGAAAGGTTGGTGACAGGCTTGGGAGAGAAAGATCTTCCATCTGTGGTTTTACTCTTTGGATGCCAACAGGATGAAGCTGGGAGTCAGGAACAGGCACTCCTGTTGGTTCTCTCACACATGTGGCAGGGACTCAGGTACTTGGCTCATCATCTACTACCTTTCCCAGTCACATTAGCTGGAAGCCTGGTCAGTACCACAGTGGTCAGGATTTGGGTCCATGTTTGGATAGGGAATGCCAGCGACTCTGGCTGCAGCTCCACCCACTGGGCCACAATGTCTAGTTCAACATTTTCTATGCTTTTTTTTTTTTTTAAGATTTTTATTTTTTAAAAAGGCAGTAAGAGATATGTCATCTGTCTGCTGGTTCAATGCCCGAATACCAGAGCTGAACCAGGGTATAGCCAGGAGCTAAGAACTCAGTCCCTGTCTTCTACATGGACGACATGGACCAAGTATGTGGGCCATCACCTGTTACCAACCATGGTACCTGTTGGCAGGATGCTAGTATCATCCTGCAGCAGTGGGACTCGAACCACATACACATACAACCTATGGAGATATGGATTTCCCATGTGGTGTCTTGATTGCTGTGCCAAGCACCGCTAGCATTTCATCATGCGACCAATCCTGTGAGGCAGAGCTAGTTAACTAGCACTGCCTTTATTTATTTATTTAAAGGTTTACTTATTTTTTTAACTTGAAAGTCAGAATTACAGAGAGAGAGATCTTCCCTCCCCTGGTTCACTCTCCAAATAGTTGCAATGGCCAGAGCTGGGCTGATCCAAAGCTGCCATCTGAGTGAGGCAGTGATATGGATAAATAGATTTTTATATAAATATATATTTTATGTACATAATATATATGCTTTTATATGAAATTATGCATATAATATATAATTAGACCAAATCTATATTTATATAAAACATTTATATAAAATATAGAAACACATATGTAATATAAACTTTGATATTCATATATCAACAATATGTAAATATGTATTAATGTGGGGTGGGGAGGGAAGCCTGGCTGTTAGTTCCTCTGGCAGAGCGGCTGTCCTACAGACAGAGGGAGGCAGAGCTGGGCTGAGGCCTTGCTCTTTAACTCCAGTTCAATGCTTTGCAAGGGCAGCCTTGAAGGGTAAAGAGGACGTTGGCCTGGGGAGCAGAGCCACAGCCTGCCAGAGGGAGGCGGGTAGAGGTGCCTGCAGTGGGTAGGCCTGCTATCGGTGGTAGAGGGTGTGGCTTATCATTATTAAAATATTGCTGCCTACCTGGGTGCCATACCATAATCTAGCAGGTGGGAAGATTAACGGGGGCACAGCAGCCAGTTTCTGTACTGAGGGTGAACTAGCAGATGGGAGCTTTCTCTTTCCCTTTAAATGAATAATAAATGAATAATAATAATAAAAATAACTAGAAGACTGTTTTAGGGTCGGCATGTTGGCTCAATTGGTTAATCCTTCACCTCCAAGTGCCTCATCCCATATGGGCACTGGTTCGTATCCCGGCTGCTCCACTTCCCTTCCAGCTCCCTGCCTGTGGCCTGGGAAAGCAGTCAAGGATGGTCCAAAACCTCGGGACCCTGCACCCACGTGGGAGACCTAGAAGGAGCTCCTGGCTTCGGAGCAGCTCAGCTCCTGCCGTTGTGGCTATTTAGGGAGTGAACCAGAGGATGGACGATCTCTCTTTTCTGTAAATATGATCTGCCTTTCCAGTAAAAATAAATAAATCTTTTTTTTTTTAAAGAATAGAATGTTTTAAAGATAAGAAAGAGCTAGGCATTGTGCCAAGACCCTAAAGAACTTCATTCTCCCATGTACTCCACGTGGCTGTTCCTGTTGTCACTGGGGTTTTCCAGATGAGGCCAGGCTGGGAGAAGTGAAGTCACCCAAGAGCACAGGTTATGGGGAAGACCAACCCTGTCTCCTGCCCTGGCTTTCATTTCTCATTACTTCCTGTTGCCTTCAATCATGCCATCCTATGCTCTTCCTCTTTCCAGCCCCTCCAGTTGGGCATTAGTTTAACAGTGAGGATCCCCCCAAGAAGCTGGGGTGAGACAATAGCAGGAAAAGGCTTTTCCAAGTCTCAAGCTTGTTTGTTTTGCTACTGGAGGCTCAGCTTGGATGTGGATCAGAAGACATTTTGTTTCTATTTGGTTAGGAGTAAGACTGGGGCTGCCAGGGGCTACCCTTGGTTGAATCTCAACTACCAGCAATTTTTAGTGACTCCTGGAGGAAGATGAAGGCGCAGATGTCAGGAGAGAATTCCAAGTAGCTGCTTCCCTCCTCTGTTCCTGCCCCACCTGCTCCGGTCCTGGGAACTGACTCTGGCTTCCAGCTCTGCCCTCCTGGCCTCCTGCAGTGGCAGGAGTGGGGACCACTTGAGGAAGCTTGGGCAAATCAAATCGTATCTGCCCAGCCTTGCTGGAGAAGGGGGTGGAGAGAGGGTTGCTCTGTGCAGAGGGAAGGTCAGCACACACCTCACCCCAGCACTGTGTGTCCCTTCCTGCCCCAACCTGTGTCTTCCTGGGGTTTTGACCACCTCTTTCAGGTATTCCAGGAAGCAGCAGCCCTGCGGGACTGGATGACACACATCTCTGGGCCCCATCTTTTCTCCTTGATTCCAACTTGAATTCTAGACCGTTCTCCCTATTTCACTAACGCCCCTACCCTAGGATGTCTCCCACCGCCTCATGTCAAAGTGCTCCTATTGGTATAGATGGAGTTCAGGGGTCCTGGCTTCAGCCTGGCTCTGTCCTGTTATAAACACTTGGGAATGTGGAAGATGATTCTCTCTGCTTCTCTGCTGCCTTTTAAATAGACTAAGAAGGGGCTTACATGGTGGCATCCTTTGGGGCTCTGGCAGTCCATATGAATGCTGGTTCAAGTCCCAGCTACTCCATTTCCGATCAAGCTCCCTGTTTATGGCCTGGGAAAGTAGTGGAGGATGGACCAAGGCCTTGGGTCTAAGTAACTGTGTGGGAAACGTGGAGGAAGTTCCTTGCTCCCAGGTGTGGATCAGCTCAGCTCCATCTGTGGCAGCCATCTGGGGAGTAAGCAGCAGATGGACAATCTGTCTCTTCCTCTCTCCCTCTGTAATTCTGACTTTCCAATAAAGTAAATATATCTTTTAAAAGTAGACAAAAAAAGGGCCCGGTGCAACATCCTAGTGGCTAAAATCCTTGCCTTGCAAGTGCTGGAATCCCATATGGGCACCGGTTCGTATCCCGGCTGCTCCACTCCCCTTCCAGCTCCCTGCTTGTGGCCTGGGAGGGCAGTGGAGGATGGTCCAAAGCCTTGGGACCCTGCACCTGCACGGGAGACCAGGAAGAGACTTCTGGCTTTGGATCACTTCTGGCTGTTGGGGTCACTTGGGGAGTAAATCAGCGGATAGACAATCTTTCTCTCTGTCTCTCCTCCTCTATATATATCTGACTTTCCAACATAAATAAATAAATCTTCAAAAGCTTTTTTCCAGTGCCTCTGCTTGAGATGAAATACTACCACTCATGTGGTTGATTTCAGCTGCTCTGCTTCAGATCCAGTTTCCTGTTCATGCTCCCAGGAAAGCAACGGAAGATGACTCACGTGCTTGGGCCTTTGTACCCATGTGGGACACCCAGATGGAGTTCCAATCTCCTGGCTTTGGCCTGGCCCAGCCCCTGGCATTGTGGCTATTTGGGGGAGTGAACCTCTACTGCTACTGCTTTCCCAGGCCATAGCAGAGCGAGCCGGATTGGCAGTGGAGCAGCCAGGACGTGAGCAGGTGCCCATATGGGATGCTGGGGCCGTAGGAATGAGGATAAGCCTGCTGCACGATCGTTTATTCCCTAATTTATTTTAAAGCCACCAAGTTTGTGGCCATGACTCCAGCTCTGTCTGGATCTGTCTTCTCGTGAACTCCTCCTGCTTTTGCCATGTCAATTCATCACTTGTGTCTCTGCCCCACACTTTACTGCCTCCACATCACCTACAGGACAAAGTTCAAGTTCTTTGGCATGGTGCCTAGAGAAGGGCAGGGTCTGCCCTTGTACTCCGTGACCCTGCCACAGCAGCCTCTGCCCCACACGTACCAGGTTTCACACTCCTGGCCTTTGCACGTTTGGGAAGCAGGGTCAGCTGGTCACTCACCTCTCCCAGGTTGCCAGGCTGCCCTCCTCTGCACCGACCCCTTCCCACCAGAGAGGGCGCACCAGTTGTGCGCTGCACACCTGCTTCCTAATCACTTGAACCCTAATTATCAAAGCAAGTGGCAGTGCACATTCCTAGAAAGCAGGAATGGCATCCCTGGTCCATCACACTACAGCAGGTGTCCTATCAGTTCAGGGAACAATGTAAACTTTAAGGACGCCGTGTCTCTTGGGTTCTCCCAGGAGCTGGTGCGGGAGCTGGGTGCAGGCCACACCATCAAGGCGCTGGGAGGCCACCCTGAATCCATCTGAGCCCCTGCCCCTGTGCTCACATCTTGGGGCTCCAGGCACCCCTGCCCACGCCTGGTTGCTTTCCCATACCTGGGCCCGCTGGATCCTCTCCAGCCACCGGACACGAGCTGCTGAACCGGGGCAGTGCACGACCAGGGCATTTGAGACACACTGGAATTCAGTGAGGTGGATCGCCAGGAAGCTGGCTAGTGGAAAGGGAGAGAAGAAGGTCTGTTTCAAGGGCAGGACCTTCGTTGCGCCCCATCCCAGTCCCTCCTGTTGAAGGGAGGAGGACAAGGATTTTTTTCTTCCCCCACTAAACCTTGCACCCAGGACAGACTTACTAGGGTCTCGCAGTGGCCGGCATACAAGCCTCTCCAGCATGAGAGGGGGGCGGATGACCTTGGCTTTGTCAACTTTGCGTTGAGGCTTGGTCACCAGCAGCGTGTCCGAGAAGAGGAATAGGTATACATCCAGCTGCAGAGGACAAAGCGGCAGAATTAGTAGGAGAGAAGGGACTTGGTAGCCAGCGCGCACACAGGGGGAGGGGCTGTGCTGTTTATAGTGTGTGGGGTGCTCGAGCTGCGGAGGGGCGGTGTCGCTGGTTCACGGGCAAGGGGAAGTGGCTGGCTCGGGGACACGTACACACACATGCACGCGGCAAGTCGTTCAGCTGCAGCCACTCCCTCTGTGTCTCCCACCTCCCACTCTGCCCCATGCCCCTCACCTTGCCTTCTCGGCCCTCCTTCACTCGCACCGGGCCTTCGAACAGCAGCTGTCTGGTGTGTTCAGATCCTACCCCCTGCATGGGGGATGTCAAGTCCAAGGTTGAGAACGGGCGAAGATGCTGAGGACCGCAGAGGGGAGGCTGTGAGACACCAGGTGGGTTTCCTCTGCAACCCAGCCCAGGGCGGTTTCTTATTCTCCCACCTGCTCCTTCTGCCTCCCCTACCCCTGCGCTTGGAGATGGAGGGAGCATCCGTTTTTGATTCTCGAATCCTGTGCCCTTCACTGCTCCTGCCTCTGCCCCTTATCTGTTTTGGGGAGACCTTCCCTCCGTCTACTCTTACCTTCTCCACCTCCTCACTGGACAGCTCCAGGACCTCGTAGGGTCCAAGGCGGTGGGTGGCGGTCAGCAAGCTCTCATGCTCTTCGCCTTGGCCGACCTGCCCGTTGATGTGCCGCAGGAAAGAATCCACGGCTGCGACCTCAAGGGGAACAAGTGTGAGAAGGGGTGCACTTGCCATTCAGCTAGTATCATGTGGCCCTCCACAATGGGTGGGGTCGTTGGTACCATGAGATACAGGCGCCCCTCCCACAGCCCCAACCCTCCCAGGGCCCTGTGTGGGGCACCTACCATGGCTCCCAGGGCTTCCTGGGTTCGAGCCTCGGGGCTCTTCTTCAGCACAGCCTGGAGCAGCAGCGGGTACTTGGTGATGCGCTGGTGAGGCTTGATGAGCAGGTCGCCCAGCATCTGCCTCCCTGAATTCTTGTGTTTCTCACACCACTGTCAGGGTGGGGGATAGCAAGGGCTCAGGAGTCGGTACCATCCCTCTGTTCCACCACACCTGGGGGTTCACGCAGACTGCCACCCTTCCCAGCTCCTCCCTGCCACTGGAGACCGGGGAGCCCCGCTTGTGTAATTGCACCCCTGTCCCCTCCCCAAGGCCTCCTTTGCCACCTGCACGAAGGTATTGAAGAGAGGGTTTGTGTCTTGCTGCTCCCGGGCGTAAGCCATGATCTGCTTCACTCGCAAGCAGTAGCGGACATAGGGCTGGAAGCGCTGGCCAAACTGGAGGGAGAGTTATGGGGCAGGGAACAAGCAAGGTGAAGGGTGTGGTCATAGGGTCTGGCTGCAGAACATGGCAGCTGGGTGCGTGTGAGCCTCCCGTGGGATGTGGCTCCAGCTCGCCCATGATAACTCACATTTGCTCCCAGTCACCAACCCCCCATCTCTGGAGTCCAGGGAGAAGCCTGGGACTGTCAGAGGTGGACCCACTGCTGCCTTCTGAGCTCAGTCCATCACAGCCTGTTGGGCCCTGCACAGCCCGGGACAGACACTCTTCCGGCCATCAATAATACATCTGGATCAATGGCAGGGCACTGCAGATCCCATTCACTCCTAGAGGGGACAGGATGGACCTGAAGGCCACCCAGAAACCCTGTTCCTGTGGGAGGAGACTCTCAAGGCTTCAAGGGGGCGACTTTACCCACCCCTGCATGGCAGCATCTTCCTGCCGGGGGCCCTGGCTGGGAAGAAGCGTGCAGAAGTTGGAGCCCAGGCTTTCTGGGTTTCTCTTAGTCTCCATCCCCAACCCTACCATGTTCTTCTTCTCTGAGTCTCCTGTGGCCTTTGCTCCCCACTTTCAGATATCCTGAGGGTCCCTCTTGCATCTAAACATTCAGATATTATGTGATGGGTGCAGAGGCAGACCCTTACTCTTTGCACCTCTTCATAGCTTCTAGAAGGCCAGAGAAACTTTGGGACAGAGAATCAACTTTGCAGATAGGATCCCCCTGCCTCTCCCCGGGACTCACCGTCAGGAAGCCATGTTGCATGCTGACGGGGTCCAGAGGCTGGCCTGAGGCGCGTGTCTCCTCCAGGGTGGGACCCAACACCTCCTCCCAGAAGCTGCGATGGGCTCGGATCAGGCTGGGGACATTTCCAAATAGAGTCTCTGCCGACACCTGCAAGGGAGCAGGATGTGGCAGCAGCGTGGCCTCGACTGGTCCCTGTTAGGCAGCGCTGGCCTGGACAGGGAATGGAAGGGAAAAGTGGGCCTGAAGATGGAGTGCCCTTTCTCCTCTGTGGCACAGCAGCCTCAACAGGCTGAGTTCTGGGAAACTTGCTGCCTGCTTGGGGGCTGGAGTGAAAGGAGAGAAGAGAAGGCAGGGGTGTCTCAGAAAACAAAGGCATTGGGAATTTGAACTGGGCTCTCTGACACCCCACTCCACACACTCCTGTCTTTCCCAGCTTGACCTGCTCCAGGCTCCCCTTAGCACTCCCACTCACTTCTGTCAGCAGCCCCACGCGTTGCAGGTTCAGCAGTCCGGCTGCCAGGAGCTAGATGGGGGAGCGAGATGAAGGTTGAGGCACTTGCCCTCCGTCCTCTGGGGACCCCAGCCCAGCCCTTCCGCGTCACTTCCAAGTCCCCGGGACTCACATGGGCCTGAACTCAGGAACGTTTTAGGTGCTCCGCCCTCCCTCCCCGGGCCACCCCCTGGACTGGGAGTTTGAGGGAGCTGGCTGTCCGTAAGTGGGAGGCTTACATCCGTCATGATCTTGAGCTTCCTCACGTAGATCAGCTCGGTGGTCAGCAGCTCCCACAGCGCCTCCTGCTGGTGGCAAAGTTCTCGGCTCATCTCCTGGAGTGGGGAGACAGCTGATTCAGGCGCGGATGAGGAGAATGGCAGATCCCACTGATCTATTTATTTTCAAAGATTTATTGATTTGAAAGGCAGAGAGTGAGAGCGAGAGCAAGAGCGAGAGCGAGCGAGAGAATCTTTCATCCCCAAATGTCTGAATGTCTTCAATAACCTGGGGCTGGGCCAGGTCAATGCAGGAATTAGCAGCTTCTTCTTGGTCTACTATGTGGGTGCAAGGGGCCCAAGCAGTTGGGTCATCCTCACTTGCTTCCCCAGGAGCATTAGCAGTGAGGTGGATTGGAAGGGTGGGGCAGCCAGGACTTGAACCAGTGTCCTTATGGGATGCTGACACCACAGGTCACAGCTTAACCCATATGCCACAGCATATTTATTGTGCCATTGATTGAGTGCTGCAGTATCTGCTTGATAGCTATGTGGCCTCCTCATCTTTAAACCCATTGCCAGGTCTGGTGACAGCCTTATCCACACTTTATGTGTGGAATGATCGAGGCTCAGAACGATCAGGGTTCACTGTGGCTATGAAGTGGCACAGCTGGGAAGTGGACTTAGATCCAGGTGTCTCTGAATGCTTTCCCCACGTGCACTCGTCTCCACAGGTCTTCCCTGCCTCTCCACCCCTTCCACAGGCCTCCCCACCTCTTCCCTTTGCCCCAGCTCCAGGGCAGAAGTGAGGCGTGTGAGTGTGGGTCAGACACCCACTGTGGCTAGCCTACCTTGTGCCCAGGCACCAGCTCCCTCCAGGACTTCTCTATGGCCAGGCCGCTGTCACCACCCTCTCCTATCTCCCAGTGCCGTCGGTCCTCGGGGGGCAGACGGGGCATCCCGAACATGCTGAAGGTGTGCAGCCTCTTCTCCAGCTCGTGGGCCTTGGTGACTTCCTGGGTGAGGGGAGACGGGGCTCAGTCCTGTCACCTAATGGGCAGCCCAGCACACTGCAGGAGGGCTCTGTGTGTGGGGTGGGCAGTGGCAAGCAGGACTGAGTGCCAGTGGGGGTGGGGGGATGCAGAGGTCTGGGGTCCGGGATCGCCCTGGCTGGAATTACAGGAGAAAGAATAGCACCGGGATATGATTAGTGAGGCATGCGCAGAGAGGACCCTGAGCAGTAGTGTCTGACCTAGGCTCTCTGCACAGTGAAATCACGACAAACACCTTTAGAGGGATTTTCAGGCAGACATTAGAACAACACTTAGGGGAACAGACACATTCTTAACAAAGATTTAAAGGCAGACTGACACGCACACAAGAGAGCATCTTCTATCCACAAGTTCACTCCCTTAATGGCTACAGTAGCCAGGGCTGGACCATCTGGGTTTCCTGCATGGGCAGCAGGTGTCTAGGCACTTGGGCCATTCTCTGCTGTCTCCCAGGTGCACTAGCGGTCAGCTGAGCTGGAAGTGGAGCCTCTGGACTTGCACAGGCGCTCTGACAGGGATGCTGTGGGTGCCACAAGGCCCGCCCCTCAGGTACAATTCTGAACAATTGTCCATGACAAAGGACAGGTTGGGGAAGCAGCTTGGGGGTTAGTTCAGGGGGAGGTACCGAGTACTCAGGCTACAGATGCTTCTAATCCTCAACGTGACTCAGGAGACCCCTCTGTCCCACCCCCACACACGGGGCGGAGATGATGTGAGAGCTGGGGTTGCAAGGAGCTTGCAGAACTCTCCCATGATCCAGCACTTTCAAAAGCTGGATGTTTAACGTCAGCAGAAAGGGGGGGTGGATGTTTCAGTAGCAGCAGAGACAGGGGCTAAGGTGCCGAGGTCTCCCACTGGACTCTCCCACCTGACGGTCCCCGCTCCAGCTCCTGTCTCCTGCTCCCGGCTAAGGCAGCCCCTAGGAGGCAGCAGGTGGTTGGTTCCTGGAACCGCACAGGAGATCTGGGTTGAGTTCCTGGCTCCTTACTTCTGCCTATATCCAGTCCTAATCAGTGAAGGCATTTGGGGAGTGAACTGATGGATCAGAACACACCCACATATTCTCTTTCTGTCTCTCCAATACTGAAAACAAAAATTAAGCTACTAAAAGATCTTAATCATTTATTAAAATATCTTAATAATAGTTTCATCACATGGTCTGCAGTCAAGGTCACTGTGTCCAAGGCATGGACCGAGCGCAGCTGTAGCCTTGACAGCTTCTCTGTGCCCTGAGCTCAAGGCCTCCCTGAGCCTCATGGGTGGCAGGGAGCAACCCAGCAGGGCACCTGCACCATGGGCACAGGAGGAGAGGGACTCCTTACCTTAAGTTTTGGGGAGTGAGGTGGGCCAACTGCCAGATGGTCCCCATATCTCTTCAAGGGCTCAGGGTCTCGTAACTTCAAGGGAGAGAGGTTTCGGGCCTTCGCCAGCGGGTTATACTGCTGCAGGTGGCGCAGACCGGGATCCTGCAGGAGGAGCAGGGAGAGTCCTGGGCGGGGGGTTGCCACCCTCCTCTCAGGAGCACCACAGAGCTCTGGAGGGCCAGGCTGGACGCCAGGCATCATCCCCCACCCTGCCCTCTCACTCTCCTGGCTCACCTCTTCCCTCTAGCCTGCTAGGTGTGGGCAGCATTTGCCCTGAGTCACAGCGGCTGCTGCCAGGGAGGCCACCCTAAGCTGGGCAGGGACATGCCCACTTTGGCTCCCTGCTTCGGCCTGGGGGTAGAACTGGGGGCCTTGTTCCAAGCAGGTGGTGCAGGTACATACACACTGGGGCTCTGCTGGGCGTGCTCCCGGGGGCTTGCCATCCCCTCTACCCCTGGGCCCCTCCCCTGTGGGCTCCTGGCACAGCAGGCTTGTGTGGTGCCTGGTGCATTCTGGGACCCTCAGAGCCGCCCTGTTCCGTGCCCAGCCTGCCCCCCCACACAGACAAGGACGAGGTCTCGCACACAGGGACTCCTCCCCAGGGAGAGGTAGACAGGAGTCTCCTCCCTGGGCAAGCCTGGTCACATTCTTCCATCTGCTTGAGGCTTGAAAGATCCCTCCCCAGGAACTTCCTGGTGACCCTTCTGTCCTCAGCTGAGAGCAGTCCCCAGCTCTCAGCGCCAGATCTTCCTTCAGCAAGCAGCAGATCCCCAGAGCCGAAGCCTGGAGAGTGAGAGAGCCACAGAGGACTTGCTCTGGACTGGAGGTGAGCCAAGCAGGTGGAGTGGGGGTGGGGTGGGGTCAAGCCTCCTCTGCCCCCAGTTGGACAGGAACGTCATCCTGAACCTTTGGTCTTCCATTGTCCTGAGTCACAGGGAGGCAGGGCTGGGGAACCCTGGGGCTCCTCCCTGATAGAGGTGGGAGGCGGGCATGCATAGCCTCTGGAGTTTGGTGACCCCACAGTGGTTCCGTGCATGCCGGGGGACCTGCTGGACAGCATCTGCTCTGTGACTGTCCCAGCGGTTACTCCTGCCCCAGCTGCCTGGAACCGGGGCGTGGCATGCTTGGGAGGTTGGTCCAGGAAAGAAGAGCAGGGGACGGGATGGGAAAGGAGCCCAGCCAGTGAGCATGGCATAGGACAGCCCCTGTAGAGTCGCACCCAGGTCACGCTCAGGGCACAGCGAGGACTCACCAGCACCACGCCTCCTCGGGGAAGGAGGCTGACCACAGGGCTCTGTGGAGAGGCCCGGTGCCGGCCGCCATAGGTCTCGATGCGGGATGCCACGAGTCCTGGCAGGGGACCTCCATCAGGAGGACCACAGGTCTGCATCCCTTTCCCCCACCAGGGTCACCTCCAAAGTGTCATAGCTCCAGGGCTCAGGAGAAAGGCGTCCCCTGAGGCTGCGGGAGAAGAAAGGAATGTGAGGGCCAGTCCAGATCAGTGAGTAGCTCAGGGAGGGAAAGGAGGTCCTGGGAGGGGGAGGGACGGCCCAGGCCCCAGGGCACCTGTTGGGCACCTGTTGGGCACCTGGGGGAGGCCCCAGGGCACCTGTTGGGCATGGCTGTGCTACCTACGACTTGGTGGGGTGGGGTTGGTGCAGCCTTCCTCACCAGCTACAGTCCCAGAGGCAGCTGGGAGTGAGGTGAGGGGGTCGCAGAGAGGTCCTTGACTTTCAACAGACCCGAGGTGGCAGAGGGCATTTCACTAGCATCTTGGTAATCTACATACACACCCAGGGATGGGGATGTAGGGGGAGAGAGGGCAGGGGGGAGGGAGATGTCAGGGATGGGGTGGGGCTGCCTCTGCTTTCTGCACAGCCTGAAGTTCAAATTCAACGACCTCAACCTTGCTCTCCCCTCTCCGCCACCTCCTCCTCTGGTTGTTTCTGACTGAGTCCTGCTCTGCGGGTTTGTCCCCACCCCTTAACTGGCTCCTCCTGGGGGGGAAGTGAGGTGGGGGCCTTAGAGACCAGCTGGGTCTCCGGTTCTCCCTAACACAGCTCTTCAGAGCTAAGAAGCCCCCAGAGGGGATGGGAGGGTCCGAGATCCACCCCTACCCCCACTCCTGGATGGGCAGGGCCTGGAGAGGGGAGGTGGGATGGACAGCCGGGCAGTGCCACCTGTCAAGTGGGCCCGAGGCCCCTCCCTCATTCTCCTAATATTGTCTCCCTCCCATTCCTCTCTAATTCGGTCATTTCTTAGTTTTGACCTCCTTCTCATTTTCTTCCTGCCCCGAGGAGGTCTGGCCTGCGCCCTAGCCCCGGTTCCCAGGTCCCCAGACCCCGGCCGCCCCGCCCCCAAGTCGCGCCACTCCGCCGCCCACCTGTATGCGCAGGTGTCCCGTTGCCCGCTATCCACGCGTCAGCCCCCCGCCGCGGGGCTCCCTGTGGCCGACCGGAGCCCCGGCGACACCGGCTCCGCTGCCCGGCCTGGGACTAGAAGCGAGCGGCCCGCGGGGCCGGGGCAGCGCCGGGTCGGGCGGGGAGGGGCAGGTGGAGGGAGGGAAGGAGAGGCGGGGACGCGGCTGCTCCGCCTCCTCACCTGGGGCCGCGCACTCGGGATGGGGCGTCACCTCCCCACCGGACCACCGCCCCGGCCCGGTGCAGCAACCCCACAGGACCACCGCCCCGGCCCGGTGCAGCCACCGGGGCCGCGAGAACCCCCGCGGCGCCAGAGTTAGGAGGGTTGAAGGAGAGGCTGTGCGCCGCCCCTAAGCGTCAAGCCGGTGACCAGGCGCTGAGCTCTGCGTGCCGCGAGTGACCGGCTGTCCCCTTCTCCCCCTTACCCGATGTCAGCCCATTCGCCCGGCAGGGGAGGCGGCTGCGGTGGGCCTGGGGAGCCCCCGGCGCCCTGACTGCTGGGAAGTCCAAAGTGTGGCCCTTATCTGCTGGTTGTCAGCTTGCCTGTCCTGATGGTCAGGTGGATGTCTCTGGACTTTGCCTGGCTCCAGGGAGGCAGCAGGTGCCAGGTGCCAGTCAGAGGCCTGACCCAACACTTTTCCCTTTACTTAAGATTGGGGTGGGGGTTGGGGACCGTCGGGGCTGGCGTGGGAGCGGGAGCAGGGGGCATCTTCCACCTCATCGATATGTTGGTGGAGTGGCAATTGCAGAGGTTGCTGAACCAGGCACTGCCAGGACCACATTCTCATGCCCCCCCCCAAATCGTGCATCTGGCCAGTTCGTGGGTACCGGGTACTTGAAGCCAAGGCTGTCCAAGTGTCTGTGTGGTTGAAGTAGTCCAGTTTGAAGAACCCAGCTCCCTCACTCCCCCCACCCCAATGGGGCTCTCCAGAGCCCTCACTCAGAGCATGCCGCTTTTGCCCTGCTTGCCATGGGATGCCAACGTCTGTGCTCCCTGCCCGCCTCCGCCCGGGAGCCCTCTAATGGTCTTTTCGGGGGGAGGGTCGCTCTTTTGCGATTTTTGCTGTTGGTCGAGATAACTCTGTACCTTGAGGTGTCCTGTGTGCTGCCTTCCAGTGGATTGGTGTCTGCCAATACACGCGAGGGAGAACTCTGCTGGGACGGAAACTGCAGTGGGGGAAGAGGCAGCAGCGTGTGCCTGTTCCCGGCTGTACGCGGTTGTGTGCAGTGTGTGTGCCGGGAAGGAGGGCGAGCCTGTGCTCCTCAAGGATGGCAAGAGTAGCCACGAGGGGAGAGTTAATCAGCTGGGACATGGTGATTACTGGCATTTTGAAATGACACCCCAGAAACACCCCGGGGCCCCCAGCTTCTTCCCCACAGTGCCTCCCAGAAGGAGGTGGTGGGAGGATGGGGGGAGGCACGGGAACTTGACATTGAAGGAGCACCAAGACAAGCCTGGACTTAACTGTGCTCTGGGGTGAGCTGGCTCGACCGGCTCAGTGGGGCCTCGGGGAGAGTTAACCCTTTCACTTCCCGTAAGGCTTTGGTCCAGCTTCCCCGCCCACCCACCGCCACCTCCCTGAAGGGCCTGTCCTAGGCTGTTCTTGGGAGGAGAGTTCCCAGGGAAAGCTGGAGCCTGGAAGCTAGAGGGAGGTGGGGCCGGGCTCAGATGTGTGGGCCAGGAGGCGGGACCTGGAGTGACTGGCACATTCACACCCTCCGTTGTGTGGTGCTGTGGATAGGGGACTCCGGAGGCAGGCTTGGGGGTGGGCTTGGGGTTGGGGCGGAGGATGCTGTTCGCGGCTTGCTGGGGGTGGGGGTGGGGCGCTGATTGACAGCTGCGGAGCTGGGAGTGTCAGTCGGTTGGAGTCTGGGTGTCACTTGGTCCTCCTGGCTGCCTTTTCCACATCTCTAACTTTGAGTCATGGTGTTCCTCCACACCTCGTGTTCTCCTTCGGGGCGCATTCCAGCCCCTCCCGTCCGCAGGTCCTCAGCTTGACCCCATTGCCCGTGAAAAGCTGTGTGTCTTTAGGACCAAGACTGAGGCAGGCTGAGGACCAAGTTCTAGGGTGTGCCTAGGGGGCTCGCCTGGCAGGGAAGCCCTGGAGGCGGGTGTTCCTGGAGCTCCACCCAGCTCACAGGTCCCCAGTGCGAAGAGACTGGAGAACCAGGCAGGAGGCGGGACCTGAAACACTGGTGGCAGGTGAGAGCTGGGGTTCTCCTTGCCCGGAGTGGAGGACAAACAGAGGGCTTGGATTGGCAAGCAAGAGTCCAGGTGAGGCAGGGAAGATACTGGGAGGCCAGACCAGAGCTTCTCCCCATCATTTCCTTCCCTTGCCCCGCTCCCTGCCTTCGACAGGTACTGGCACCTGCCTATGTGGGGGTGGGGATGGGGGCTAGGTTCAGAGAGATGTGGAAGCCAGTCACAGGCCTCCCAATGGTTCTTCAGGAACCAAAGAGGGAAGCAGAACCCTCAGATCTGAATCAGAAGGAACGATCAGGAGCCACTTGAGGGATTGCAACTGGAGGGATGCTCTTAGGAGCTTGCTGGAGGAGACAACAACACAGACAGGTGGAAGAGCATGCTCACAGGAGATCGGGAAGTCGCTGGTGTCGTGGCCCAGCCTGGTAAGCTGGTACACTGCCCGCCAGCATCTCGGGTTGGAGTGCAGGTTTTGAGTCCCCGCTGTTTCTGATCCAGCTCCTTACTAATACAACTAGGAAAGCAGCAGAAGATGGCAGAAATACCTGGGCCCCTGCCTTTTACTTGGGAGACCAGAGTGGAGTTCCTGGCTCCTGGCTTTGTCCTGACCCAAACTGGTCTATTGCAGCCAGATGGGGAGTGAGCCAGCAAATGGAAAATCTCTGTGTCTCTTCCCTCTCTGTCACTCCGCCTTTTAAATAAATAAGTAAAGTAAGTATTTAAAAAGAAATAAGGAATCTCACACCATAAAAAAAAAATGAGGAAAGGCAGGCTGTCCTGTTTCCTGGGGATACCCCAGCCACCAGGCTGCCCATGTCTGGCTGATGGTGCAGGAGGGCAAACCCTTTTCCTGGCACTCAAGGTCCCCCAAGTTGGACTCCAATCACATTTCCTGTCACTGGTCTGTCCCCCAGGATGTGACCTTGTCCTAGGTCTGCCTCGGGCCTTTGTTCATTCGAATGCTGCCCCTCAGCGCTGCCCCTTGCTCTCTCCGTCCAACCACGCCTCCTCCCAAGTCCTTCCCAGCAGCACAGCCTTCAGGAAGCTTTTCCTGATAATCTCTGGCCAGGCTGGTCACTTCCCTCTCACCTTCAACTGCCCTGGCCACAGTGTTTGTTTTTTTTCTTAACAACAAAAGGAAAAAAAAAAAATTTCCTCCAGCAGGCAACTGACTAGCTTGCCTTGTACTAAGGTGAAAAGCAGCCAGTAGCTTATGGGCATTTTGGGTCTGGTTAATGCCAAATTTGTGTTAACTATGTCGGTATGCCAACATAGTTGTTTATTTATTTACTTTGATATAAGTAGGGAAAGCAGGGAACACTGGGTCAGGACATGCCACCCCAGCCCCCAGGTTGGGGGCAGCAGCAGATTGTCCGAGGAAGGAGTCTGGGGATGTGTTGGAGTGGGAGCAGCTGAGGGCAGGTTTGACAGGGCAGGAATGACTTCTGGGGCCTTCCATGGACCGGGCCACTGCACTCGTAGGTAGGTGAGGTAGCTAAGGTGGAGCGGTTTGGAGAGGGGAAACAGGAGGGCATGTCTGGGTCAGGCCAAGGCACTTGCCCATATGGGAGACCCGGGCTGCGTTAAATAGCATCGCTCATGCTCATTGCAGACTGATGCTCACAAAAGTTGGGCCAGGAGGGACATGCTTGGGTGGGTTAGGCCACAACACTCATCCTAAGTGTTGGAGCAAAGGGTGGATCATGTCAGGCTGGGCTGCAACTCCCACCAGAATGCAAAAGAATCAGATTCTGTGGGGGGAATTGT